GGTGGATAATCATCGATCAAATTCAGAAAGTTGATGCAGACTACAGACTTTGGTGAAGACGAAGTTAGCATTTGGCTTTGAAATGCTATCTTTCCTTAATGCTTGAATGGATTTCATTTAAATCTGGTCTAGAACATTATTAGGGAGTAGCAGTGATATCAAACATGCATAAAATGATCCTGAGACTGTCCTGACCAAATCTTATTTTTAACCTTGGTCCAAAATCCAACATAACTCATCTTGAACAAATATTCTGAACTAAATCTCCAGTTTCATTCATACCATTGAGAAAAAATATTTGGGAGTTTTTGAAGGAGAAGAAACAGATTTTATGTTTCAGCCTGATCAAAGCTTTGACAGGGTAGTCATTGCTCAACTGTTTTCCATTAACAATATACCACTTATGAGTTTCTGACACTTTCTAGGAATGATCAGGATTTCAATTCATCGGATTTGTTAGACCACCATCAGCAAACGCTGGGCTATTCAAATCACTTTTTGTCTGTGTTCCGTTCATCTGCCTGTTGATTGTCAGATAACTGGGCCATGGCCCTCTTGTTTGTTTGTTTCATCAATAATATAATATTTTTTTTCTTTTAACAGATCAAAGACAATATAGAGCAGGTTTTTGCACGGTTCGTTAGTGAAGGCAAAGCTACCATTCGTGTGAAGGACCCACCCCAGGACATCAGTATCAGCAAAGTAATATGAATGCTCACAAATGATGAAAAATATTAAACACTCGAGGTAGTTTGTGGGTAAATTAGTATCACTTTGTTCATGTTGCCTTGCTTCAACAAAGTCAGGGTTTTATTAAGTAATTTCTTTGTCCATCGATCTGTGGACACTTATATCCACAAATTTCATGAAATATTTGAGGAATGGAAAGTCATAGTTCAGCTTTGGTATACAGGTACACATCGCAAGAACAGTGCTGTGTGACCTACTAAATAATAGTCATTATGACTTTGGTTGACCTTTTTACTCAAGCTCTTCAAGTTGACAGTTTTTAGAGCATATCTCAGACACTTGAGTGTATGGACTACCCAATACCAAGGCTGTGTGTTGTGGGCCAACACTAAATCATTATGACATTACACACCATAGGTATTTAAGATCTTTTTGCAGATATAAAGTTTATAGATTATAAACTGTCACTAAATTAGTTGAAAAAACTAAAGTAATGGTCACAAATATTTGACCATCTATTAAGTACACTTAATGCATGATCAATTGAAAGCTTTTCATGACTCCTGTATGCTGTGAATTGGAACATATGTACATGTAAATAATTAAATAAGGATATTTTCATCTTACAGGCTGATTCCTTACAACTGAAGAACTTTCTCTCTGTACTTCGCCTTGGTGCTCAAGGAAAAAGTTTGGATAATATTACCTTATCACGTCTCGCTCCAGCTTCGGGCAAAAATGTTGAAAAACCTAAAACTAGACTTATCATCAATTCAAGAAAGGAATATCCCCTGACAACAAACTTTCCGTCTCGTTTAGAGTTTCTACAGGTGTCCCAGTGTCGCTTAAAAAAAGTGGATTCTCGAATACTTAAGTTATATTATCTTACAGAATTAAATCTGAGTGATAATGTTTTAGAAAGTTTACCAGAAGATTTTAACAATGCTCCAAATTTACGATCAATAACTTTATTACAGAACAATTTAACTAATATTTCTCCTAAATTTTGTTTACAATCTACACTACAACATAATCTTCGTTTTCTTGATCTCGGACAAAATCATTTAGAAGTTCTCCCTCTTCAGATTTGTGAGTTGCAATGCTTGGTGACTTTAAAAATTGATAATAATCAACTGAAATGTCTCCCTCCAACAATTGGTCGATTAAAATGTCTGAAATTTTTGTCTGCTGTCGGAAACAAGATTGAAACTTTGCCTGCAAGTATGACTCAACTTCAGCTAGAGACAATTGACCTTTATGGGAACCCATTCCTTCAAGATATCCACAATGACCTGCCAGACCACTTCCCTGACATAAACCTGATGGAATTATGCGCCAGATCTATTAGAAAACATAGGTATTGGTATTTTGTTTATTCACTCCTTTAAAATTTTAGCCGATCAATTAAGATAGTCAAGGCCACTTAATAATTCATTATTTCTATTAAGTACCTCTAAATTGGCCACAATGTTTCTTTGCTTAGGACATGCTGTCCATTTCAGATAACAAATATAATAGTAAACAAGTATGATATAAACAACAGCTTCTATAAGGGACATTTCATGTGATTTTTGTGGTGTTTTCAGAGTGTCATACACAGAAGAGGATTTACATTCCCATCTATGTCGATACTTGGACTCAGCCCGTCTGTGTTGGTGTGGTGGATTCTGTTTTAGGTGTTCTGTGAACTTTACAACATCTCTAACCCTATCCAGGATAGCACACACTGTATCAGCCGTGGACCAGCTAGGCAGAATGGATGTTCCAATGATGTCCTTTCTTTGCTCTCCACATTGTCTTTCAAGATTCCAGAAGAATCCCTATGCTTACTGGAAAAAATAGACTTGATGTCTTGATTGAATTTCTTGTTCCTTAATATACTGTACAATCCAGGACTTTTAATGGAAAATTGTGAAAAATATATTTAATTTCTAGTCGATATATTTCTGTGATGATATGTATATTAGAAATGATTTGACTTTGGTATGACATTTTTATCATACAATGAATTTACATATATATCAAACAATTTGTACAAACTGATCAAAAACCAGAAAGACAAAAATTTCAGTAATAAACATCCAACAAATTTAATGTAAGTGTCAGATATTTTTCTGAATGTTCAGAAGTAGTTTATATCGAAGTTTTTAAGTATTATTAGTTACTTCGTTACTTCATTTGTTATCAAGTGCTATAATTGCCATACAAAGGAATTTTACTCTGTCTTGAAAGAGAAAGTCCGATTGGATCTTCCAAACAACACCACATTCAAGATAGTTACACTGATAGATTAAATTCTCATCTGTCAGTTGAGAGCAGCTCATATCATAAACTATACACCACTATTTTACAGATGGCAACCAAGTAATTTTCAAATGTTAGATACAAATGTACAGTGTTATGCCTTCTGTATTTTGGATTTGATCAGATATTGACAAGATAACCATCAATGCATTGTATTGATGGCCATTATAAATTTGACAGTTTTTCAATTTATGATTTCTGTGTTTTCAATTCGCTCTACTTCTGTGGTCCATCCATCCATCCATCTTTAAACAATTTATGTTATTGTTATTTCTTGAGATGGATCTTTCTTGATTTTTATACATAGGTTCCCCTTGGTCCCTAATTGTGCTTGTCTGATTTTGATTCTGATCAGAAACACAAAATTGCTGATGAGTGACCATCTTGGATTTTGACTTTGAAAGTTTGATATCTCTATTACTTGAAAAGTTCCAGATGGATCTCTCTCAAATTTCATATGCTGGTTTCCCTTGGTCCCTAGTTGTGTTTATTTTATTTTCAGACTGATCAGAAAAACAAGATAGCTTGAAGAAGGACATATTTTATTTTGCAGTCAAAGATTATTATCACTATTTCTGCCAAGGAGTGTTCAAATTTTTTATCATTAAGAGAAAAACAGAGATTAGGAAAGATGGGGAAAAAAAATAAAGATCAAACAATGTCGGGCACCAAAATCCTTCTGGGATCTCTTGTTAAGTTCAGCCCATGGATATTTTGAAGCTATTTTTATTCCCAGTAAAACAAATATACAATTGCTATAAATACATAGTCAACTTCACAAAATATTTGATATATTGTTTCTAACTTTGCCAACAAATTCATTTGCGAAATGATGACAAGAACAATAATGGCAAAAACAATTTATAAGTAACTCCAAACTCTAACAGCAACACGCTTTATATGTCTGTCTTATCTGTGTTGGGCACAAGTATCAATACAGTTGTCTATAATAAGTGATTGTTTTGGAAGACTGACATAACCTGTGTAATTTCCTGAGGACCACTGCATCGTGTGGTTAGTAGTAAGCATTGCTGTTTGTCTAAGATGACCAAGAAGTTACTACATTACTGGCAATGATAGTTCATTATGTGTAATTTGCTATATATTTGAAATTTCACATACAAATGATTGCATGCTTGGAAGGGAATGAAAAACGTAATTATAGTCATAAATTTGTTGTCAGCATGTTCGCTGTAAACATTGATTGTTGACCCATGAATGAACTATTTCTCAAACATTACATTAGTGTTATTCTTGAACATTCAGAGCAGGCTCATTCCTCAGAATTATATTTTAATTGTTCATGCCATACACAGAGTTTGATTGGCTGTCATTTTTCCGCTTGACATGTTTACATTCATGGCCACTACAGAGAAAATCTTGTCACTAAGCAATGAGATGGTATCCTCTACTGCTTTAAAGAGGTGGAGTCCTCTCTTCCAACTTATAGTAATTGACCCTTGCTTCCACATCTTGGGGAACATCCTCATCCTTTGCAATGACCTTTGGGATTTCTTGTTGACATGATATGTCTGTCCAATTGGGTCAGATGCTGACTTTGATCTTGCTTTTTTCTACAATTCCAAGCAGGCTTTCCCAGTTTAAATGTGGTACTTGGTGGTTCCTCTGCTATCATCCTGTTACAGACCCAATGTAGTCCCCATGTCTGGGTCACAATGTGTGTTTTATATGTCTTGGAGCTTTACAACTGACCTGAACGCCCACACCCCACCTCCTCCAACAACCTCCCCAATAGGTTGTAGCAAACCTGAAGGATCCCTGACACATTATGCTCTTCTAGTCCTGGTTTATCCTACCAGTTTGTATTCTTATAGGTATCACTCAGTTACTGGAGTCTGATTCTTTCTTCCTTTGGAGCTCTTCGGGAATTGCGTTTCAGGGTGTTTCATTTTCTCCTTATATTTCTGATATATCTTTTTGATATTCACTTGTGTGTCTTTTGCACAATTTTCATGGGTTGATCAAATTTTTACATTGTCTGCCATTTGCCCATCCTTACACAATCTTTATTGCCGCTGTTACCAACAAGCTGTCCTCTAGAATTTGGACAGTTATAGTTTGTTATCATTATTTCTTGAATAACTCAGATTGGATCATATTTCAGGTTTCATGTCAGTTTCCTGTCTTGTTCCGTAAATGTGCATAACCCTTTGTCCATTTTGGGACTAATTGGAAAAACTATACAGCTGACAGGTGCTCGAGATATTCAGAAATGCAATTTATTGCTAATAATGAATGTCAGAAAGAAATTAATTTCACAGTCTATCAGACTTTTTACCATTTTGATGATTTCAATTTATTTAATTCTTATGCATCTTTTGTCAAGTAGATAGTTATAGAATAAGAAAATAGTGTGACGTGAAATACTCGTGACCAATATGATAGACATCCTCATGGAGATAAGCTCAATAGAAAGTACATATCAGAATAGTTTTGCCTCGTGAAGGTCACATTTAGACCATTCAGCACTAGGGCTATGTAACAATGTTTTTCGAAGACGGATTAATAGAAGTGGAAAACTTAAATGAACATGTATATATATATATAAGAATGAAAAAAAATTATATTAATGTTTCTAGGGAAGCATATTGCACAATGCTCTCCTCTAGCAACATTACTTGTCAATCTGGAGCACAATCAAGACACGGAATGATATGGGGGATGTTCCCGACATGATTCGGAGATGTCAAAGGTCTAAATATACGTTGCATCAACCTACTTCTGTTATGTATCATTCTCACACTAAGACATTCATCCACCATCAGACATCATTCTGAATACAGCGATCAGGATGAGGCATAATGAAAACAAACTCAGAATTATTTGAAAGTTCAAATACTTTAATGCTATAAAAATGTCACTTAACTGCAACAGCATCACTCAGGAATTTTGAGCCACAAGATATGGATCTCTTTTGGCCTACAGTAAACCAACATTTGCTGTACAAGTGATTAATTTTATGTGCTGGTTATTGTGGGATAAAAGCCTAGTGAAACAAACTTGTATGGACACAATGTTCTCTGTGTGATGTTCAAACTAATTTGAATGGTTCTAAAATTTTGCAGCTTTTTGTAGGATTTGTTAGATGTCAAATCAAACATATATGTATATGGTGTCTGTCCACTCACCCGCTGTACAGTATAGTTGTTTCTGAAGACCATAACTTTATTTTCTATCAAGCATACTCAGTCACTCTTATTTATAAATGCATGGACTTTGGATTTGTCAAGCTCGTGGAAAATGGTGATCGGAAGCATTCAGCTTTAAATAAACTATTGGTCTTATGATGTGTATCAAGCAATTACTGCATAATGAGAAAGTATTATCAGGAAATATTATGAAATGTTATGTTTTTCCAAGAGTTTGTTATTTTTACTTATTACACAAATCAAAAGTGACTCCATATTTCATGATCCACAGGACGAATTCCCCAATAAAATTGCTCAATAAACAGTTAGTGAATAATGGTGCTTTTACTTAATTGACTAAGTCTTAAACATATCACACATTAACATTTTATTTTAAACTTACACAGATGTCTCTAAAAACTTCTGAATTAATCATCATACTTTTTGATTGCTTCAAACTGGACATCAGATCATTATAGCTGATCTCTTTGATGCATGATAATAAAATTTCTGAACTTGTGGTGTCCTAAATTGTTAACCTGAATGTTGATTTTACAATTTTTTTTACTAACATTAAACTTAAACAATACTTATCAAATAAATCAACAATAACGCGTAAACGTATATTAAATAAGTATTAAATGAGGAAACAACACAGCTTTAAAAGTTTAGGCATGCATATTGCATTATATATTTTGATTTTAGAATATCACATTTACAATTTAAATGTTTTTTCCATAAATTCTTTTTGTATATTTATATATACAATTACAGTAAATACATGAAAGGTCTTACTAAAGTTACTTTGAGGTTGATACCTGTCACCACCATGCATTGTTTCAATTTAAACATTTTCATTTGGCCTTCTTAGTCAAGTTCCTCCTGATAAAAATGCACATGCAACAGCAGCAAAATGATATTCAGGAGAAATGAAATCATTGCTGCAAAGAATTTTTATAATTGGGATGTCAGGAAGACGTTTTTGTATAATATGGAACATATTTTGTTTTATTTTAGTGTATTGGTATTTATAACAAATTTATCAGTTTAAAACGCCATATAGATATTGAGTAATAATCCAAAGTTTAGATTTCAACCAATCTCCATTTCAGTTTCAGACAATATGTACATTCAAACAGCAATTGATGCGGCCGGGGACATTTAAATTTACACCAAAATACATACTGAATATCAATGTCGTTCATTTTTGTTTTCTTGTAGTTCCCAGTTAGTAGCATTTCATCCAAACTGCTTAGAATAAATTCCTTGGTGGTTTGCATTTGAAAAGTTCATGAAATATGGAATAAATTATCAAAGGGTAATTGTATCTGTCAATGTTTATCTAGTCAACAACAGTAATGTGTGGGAGAAAATGAAATTTACGTCATACAACATTCCGCCCTTTGTGTAAGACTGCCACTTCAACTATCTTAACTTGGAAGAGCGGAAATTGTGAAAATTCTAAAGAGCAGGTATGTTTATATTGTTCAAATCATGAAAAGATTACCTTCCTTTCCTATCCCACTTTTGTCCATTTTTTAAATAGACATTTTTTGTTCATCTTCTATTTCAAACCTTACCAGTTCCAACTTTTAAATGTGAGCCTTTTTTATGTGCAGACAACACTTTTTTTTTGCAAAAGACACCTCACTTCACATACACTCTGCAACAATTCAATTCTCTTATGACTATTGATTGGTAATGCACGGGTCCTGAAACAATACCAATTGTTTTACACCGACTAATCATGAAATGTTTGTACTGATCTATAGATGACATAATATACAATATGCAGACACAATTTACTTAATGCATTTTTCATTTTAAAAGCTTTTAAACTCTTAAGTTAAAATTCAAAGTGTTGCATCAAAGTATGAGAATGGTTGGTTTTATTTTTATTTAATTGTATTGTTATCAACAATTTGTACTATCAAATTGTAATCCTAGTTAATTAAAGCATTTTTATTTAATGAGTATTTTTTTAAAATGCATCCCATGCTTTGTGATACAAAGCATGAATTTTCAGACTGTTAAATTCGGTTTAGAATATTATAAAATGCTTGATCAAGATTTTTATTAACACATTTTTTTAGATACCTGTAGGTATCTGTTTCTGCTGAACATCGAACCGAAATGCTTGTTTCAACGATTTGATTGATCACGTGATCAGATCAAGAGGCGACGTGCGAAGGAATTATTCGACGGAATAGGAAGTGAAATAGCGATAAGCTCAGAAAATATGGCTTTGACACAAATAGGAATGGTAAACAATCCCGTAAGTAATACACCATTACTAAGTTTTGTAAAGTTGTATGTTGAATGCACATGACAATATCAGTATGCCTATAAAATCTAGAACTGATGTGTGAAAGCTCAGGCCTGGTGCACGGCTGTGTGTATGCGGTGCTTGACATACAGGGAATGCATTTAGTCGTGTCATTAGATACGTTGACATTTCCATTTTGTCTTTTAATTAATTGATTCTAATTTACTTTTAGTTAATTGCCACATTTTGTTTGTCGTGTACGATATAAAAACAAATTACAATCGCTGATTATATCATTTAATCTTTTTCCGTTATTGATTTTGATTTCTGTGTAAATGTTGTGTGAAAGCGAAAGTACTTTTTTATACAAGTTTTAACTATGTTAAATTTTCATCAGACATAATTGTTCTTTTATCCTCAAAATGTCTTAGTCATGTCTGAGATTTAATTATTCTTGGGTGTTAGAAGAAAAGTACACTTTTGTGGTTCCAAGAATTAATAGCCTTGCTCAAGTCCTGGATAAATGAAATCGCCATAATGATTTTTTCTACTGCAAAATAAGATATAGAATAAGATGAAACATTGCATAAGAATACCGTTATAATCACAATAAAGTGGTTTTATATTTCTAGATATTGTTGTGTAATATCAGAGACATATATAACACATATATACATCTCTGGTAATATGTAATTATTTTATACACAAACATAGATATAAATATTGTGTATTTCAAAGTCTGTAATTTACGTAACTCCGGTAAATACTAGTGACAATATACCTCTCGGCTAGTAAAAAACTTGTTTTTACCTGTAGCTTAATCAGTTGAGCATAAGACAAGAAGGTCAGGGAATCATAGTGGAGGTATACAAATAAATAAAAAAAATGTTACATTTAGGTGTCCCTGATTGGGACTAGGGAAAAACATACAGTGTAGCATTACTTTAATTTACAAGCATCACTGTACTCTTGAAAACTGAGGGACAAGTTATTTCCATGAGGAGAAGTATGTAACTCTGGAAGGAAAGAACTGGACTGTTAGGATAGTGATAACCTCTTGTTAGCTTGATCAGTTTACTGTAAGACAAGTAAGCTATCAAGCCGTTGTCCCCATTGTGGTTTATTTCAGGAAATGCTTGGTTGGCGACAGATTTCCCATCTACGTGGCTTCACTTAATGTCAACGGTTGTCGAGAACTCACACCATGATATTGAACATGAGTCAAATCTCTTAAAACCTTCAAATAACTTTCTGTGACTAGCAAAAAATTAATACCTAGCCAGAACCATGATATTCAGCTTGTAGGTTTGGAATGAAAGCAGACGATGAAATTTGTGAATATGAATTACTACCATATTGAAGGTCACAGAGGTCAAAGTCTTCCAGCAAAGCATTTTTTACTTGTAGAAAATCAGTAATTAGCCTTGATGGTTATAAACAAATTACAAATATATATTTGGTCCAAATTAATTGAATATACAAGGCGAAAGCTGCAGGCCTATTGGGACTCTTGTATGATAAAATATAAGATCATTGTTAATGTTTACAGTATACCATTAAAACATGACCACTTTTACTCTACACAAAATGACCCTCAAACTCGTCAGCAGGTAATTATACTAAAATCCATTTCTTAATGCTACAATAAAAGCTTTTGATATGATAAGTAATATATAAAATTAGTTGTGTGTACCTTTTAGATTAAATTTGATAATTAATTGTGTCGAAAGATAAAAATATATTCTTTCAAAAAGCAATAGGTCGTGGGTCATGATATTTGTGTAGTAACATGTTTGAGGGATAGAATGATAAGTTTGCAGATATTGACTGTGAGCTAATAAACTATTCTTTGTTAGTTGTTGAACAGGTGAGCAATTCTAGCCCATGGAGCTTCTGTCATATATAGGTCTTTATATTCAGATGATAATTCAAGCATATAAGCCTCTCTTTAATATAAAATAAGCTACACGGAACCATTTTTTTCCTCACTCAATATGTAACTTAGAAATGAGTTGTAGCCTACATTTAGTTCCATATGACATCTTATAAGCTGACTCTTTAATAATTTGAATTTAAAAATGATCCAGAAAACATACAGAACAAGCCAGTACCATCCAGCACTGTGAATAAGAAATGTTTTTAGTGACCTGTTACAGCCCCTCAATGTAATTTGTGTAACATATTTTTACTAGTCTGATCTAGTGCTTTCAGATAGAAATCATCCTATACAGCACTTTGTACATTGACAACATTCCTTTGCTTTGCTGTTTCAATATGTTGACACTCTTTTTAGCTAAAGAATGGTGTCCAGAAGCATGCCGTGCATCCTGTATGACATTTCACTATCTTGTATTGTTTTGGAAAGCAGGTCATTTTTCTGTCAGGGTTTTTCAATGCAAAAAAAAAAAAAAAAAAAGAGTTATTTCATGGCAGCATTATAAATGAATATCTGTATTTAATTTTGAGCCTTAATTGCAAGAACAAAATGCCAAATGCCAAACGAGTATGACATTGAAATCTGACACTGACCTAGTCCTTTCACAAGACTTTGTAAATAGATACAACATTTAAACCAGTAATGACTGAATCTTCTCCTCTTTAATGTTGCTTGTGTTTTAAAAAGCAATATCCTGTGTTTAGTTTTATATGCTGCGAGTCTCATCTTAGAAATCATGATAATGGCACAGGTTTGCTGGGGTGTACATAATAGCTGAGATCCTTATAAATGAGACAGAATGAAATATAAAGGAAAGACACGAGACTGAATGGTATGAAAATGATAAGTGGATGTTTGATATGTATTCCAGCCTATCCCTTACACTGGGAATATTCCTGGAGGTCTTCTACCAGGAAAGCAGATTTTCATCCAGGGAGTCCTCCCTCTGACGCAAGAAAAGTAAGTATATCATGAATTTCGCATTTTCCTCAGAAGATGTGATCAAATTTTAAATCATATTGTTATATACAAAAATTATGTGTAAGTATATTTGTACTTAAGTTCACAGCATGATTATGTATCAGTATGTCAGATATATTCCATTGAAAGAATTATCATTAGTCTATAGCTCTTCATGTTGACTATGTATCAATGTTATATCAGGCAAGACTGAATCACCCCAATTAAGCAGCTGTATGTAAAATCAATGTGCTAAATCATATTTTGTTTCCATATTTTTGAGATCATAAGAGTTGTTAAATCCAATTTTAAACCCCTCAATTCTCTCTCTGTGATATATATATTGAAAGAGGATTAATTTTTCATTACAAATAGTTATTGCCTTTACTTGTCTTAACTGTGTAAACTGATACTTGTTACAGCTTTACAGTAAACCTGCAGTGTAGCACACAGACCTATCCCCAAGTTGAGGTTGCTCTCCACTTCAACCCTCGTTTTAATCAGGGGAATGTGGTACGCAACAGTCATGAGAAGGGGTCTTGGAAGAAAGAGGAAACATACGGCAGCTTCCCTTTCCACCCAGGACAGCCATTTGAAATGATAATTGCAGTGGAAATTAGCCAATATAAGGTTAGACAGGTCTTTAATCATAGAAAAGGCTAACATTACATGAACATGTTTGGAGACAACTTGGATAGAGTTCATGTTTCTAGGTCAGAGTTGCTATTTATAGAAATTTGTCGTTGATATTTACATTAACATTTTCTAGTTATTTGGTCATCTGTCATCACGAACTCTCTGCCATACGTATACTTTTTTATATTTTGAACTCCTCAAGCAACGGATTGAGCTGAAACTTGCCTGAAATGATCCTGAGATGGCCCTGAACAAGTATTGTTGTTTTTCGGGTCAGTACAAAATTTAATATGGCCACCATGACCTTCATTTTTATAAACACATGTTAAACTTCTTAAGTTCCACTGGTGCCATTGAGCTGAAAATTGGTGGTAATGTTGAAGAAGGGAAGCCAGCAAAGTGTTGTTATTTTTCAACCTCAACAAAAGTTCAATATAGCAACCAAGGAGGCCGTATCGTAACATAATTGTGTAATCATGATTCTCAAGTTCTACCATGTGATTGAGCTGAAACATGCCTGAAATGATCCTGAGATGGTCCTGACTAAATGGTGTCAATTTTCAGCTCAGTTTGTAATCCAATATGGCCAGCTTTTTGATAAACATATCTTAAAACTTCTTCTTAATACCACTTGTGCCATTTAGCTGAAATTTGTGGGGATATTGAGAAAATAAATTAGGAGTCTTTACTGCTAAAATATTCCATACTGTTTTCATCATATAATAACTACAGGTATTCCTATTACTATCATTACTGTTGTATCATATATACCAGGTAAATCTTTATAGTCAGATGACTGTGAAGGCCCACTATGTTAATGATAAAAATCTACAGAGCATATCAATATGTGACAGATATAGTATAGAGAGATCAATATTATCATTGATTAAGAAATTACCTAAATTTTTTTCATCTCACAGATTGCAGTCAATGGCCAACATTTTACGGAGTTCCAACACAGGATTCCAGTCCACCTTGTCAACACCATCAACATTTGTGGAGCTGTCTCCATATTCTGTATCAGATTTGATGCTCCAGGACAGGTTAGTTTTTATATAGTTTAAATTATTCTTTATCAATTCATACCACCATGTAGATGTAGGGAGGTTCAATTTTATATTTTAAGTTTGACAAATATATCAAAAAATCATTTTTTTTAGGATTCCAGGAAAAACAAAAAACAAAAACAAATAAACATGTAACTAGTCCATCAAAAAGGCAGGTTAAAAGGTTAATTTTTTCATGTCTAAAAAAGAAATGGATCGAAATATCAAAATACATGTTTTTGGGTTCGAAATTTGTGCACTGGCCAAATCCACACAGAAAAAAGTTCAAAGCAAGTAATTGTCATGTTTATTTTAAAAAGAAAAGTTTAGAGACTGTTAGATGTATGTATATATCTGAAATGTTTGACAATGGGATAAACTGTACATCAGATTGTGTTTCACCCTTGCAGGCAATGCCCACTGGTTATCCACAAAATTTTGGTTATGGTCAGCCTCCAATGATGCCACAGCCACAAGTTGGTTTCCAAGTGCAGCCACAGCCTGTAATTGGGTTTCAGCAAAGTCTGAATTACACAGAAGTTGTGAACCCGGTGAGTGGATATCTTTTAAAATTTATTTCAATTTTTCAAAGTAAATTTTAAAATGATTAGATACAATTACTTTAATTAGTGCTAGATTACATACTTTGATACGTCGTGAACCCGGTAAGTGGTTCTTAGTTACTTAATTTCAGTTTTTCAAAATTTTACTTATTCATTTTCGAACATATTTACAAGATGTTTATATATTGTATGTATGTGAAGTAGCTTGGTAATTTATTAGCATAAACCTTAGAATACATCATGTGTTTGGTAATATAAAGATATTTAAGACATATTCTTTTCCAGGTTGAATTCAGAACTTATCTTCAAGATATATTCTTGACTTCAAAAATAATTTTCTGAATACCTAGTACGATTGGCTCCAAATTTACTACACGAACAGCTTAAAAGTTGAGGAGACTAAGGATTGAACACATTTTTCTTTAGTGAAGACAAATTGAGTTTGCGGAATGTCCGGTACATTTTTACTCTATGTTTGTAATGAAAACTGAAATCTGGTAAATGCTGGTGTTTAGTGGTCTATATTTGGGGTGAAATAGGTACTCACAGTGTCACCAATTGTAGAAGCAAAATTTTATGTAAAATATTTGCTGGTTTAGTCTATTCAGATCAAAGCTTCATACAGTGCTTCCTCATTCGAAGTGCTTGATTCAGATTGTTCATCGGGTCAAAATGTTAGATGTCAGAGGTCAAGTTGTTTGTTACACCATTAGATAAGCTCATTGAGGTCAATCTTCTTAGGATTGCTTTTAAGGTCATGTAACTAAAGATAGAAAATGAGTTTCATGTTTCAGTATGAGAGTTTATACCTGAAATGCTTCATTTTCGTAACTCTTAATTGAATCAACTGATTTACTGTTGACTGCATTTATACAGGCAACTAGACATCCATCTGCTTGTAATTCTGTAAGAGATGCTTTTTGGTTTTCACAGGCTGTACCTTATGTGGGTGAAATTCCGGGAGGATTGGCTTCAGGCAAGTCTATCACCATCCAAGGAGCACTTCCTCTGACGCAGGAAACGTAAGTCCTTCTACATTGTACATCAAAACAGTTATATAGGACACAAAACATTTCCTCATAAAATGATGTAACATATGAATTAATGTACTGAAACTAATGTAACTTGGTATTGAAATTATGGTAAATATGACAGCTGGGTGCTATATCAATTGTTAACTTGGTATTTTCATTATGGAAAGGGGGATGTAACTATTGCGACCTGATATTGTAACTATGGTAACTTTGTGCTGTCACTGTGGTAACTAATGATAAGTAAAGACATTGTATGGAAACTGAATACTAACTATATTTAAGTTCATGGTAGTTCTTTTGTTCATTAGATTTGTGATAAATCTACAATGTGGTCGGCAGCAGTATCCGCAATTAGAAGTGGCTCTCCACTTTAACCCACGCTTTAATGAAGGCTGTGTGGTACGGAACAGTCACCAGGGCGGCGCCTGGAAGAATGAGGAGAGATTTGGAGCCTTCCCGTTCCATCCTGGACAGAACTTTGATATGAAAATTGTGGTTGAGTTGCGCCAGTACCAGGTAGAGTTTACAAGACAAAATTGATTATTTATTTAGCGACTTAGTGTGATATATGATCACTCAGGCTACATCAATATGTGTTTGTAGTGTAAGTAATATCTTGAGAAGCAGATTTCATTTGTATTTAACTAATAGTGTCATAGCATTAAGTATTAGCTCTCAAGGTTGAAAGGTCACATTTGACAGATTATATAAAGTCATTGAACAATGATACATTTTACTTCTATGTCTGGGATTGGGAATATTCATGTTTTACAGACAACGATCTTGCTTTGTATAGCTCTTCTGTCTCAAAGTAAGTGAGCTAATACTGAAAGTCTAATTTAGAGATGTGTTTGTTTTCTATCAGACTTTTTTTTCTCTCCTTCTAAATGATATATCTCAATTACCAAATGAAATAGATGATCTTTAACACAGACTCGCTTCAGGAGATTTGTGGTACTGTAAGTCTAAATCATTTGATAAGATCAGCTTTTCAAGCTGCATTCAGAAACTTTTTAATCAAAGGTCTATATAAGGTTCAGAATGATAGTCTTCTCCGCATAAGTTTGAAGACATCATATTGTCTCTCAAATACAACATAAATGGAATATGCTGAGGACATTATTAATTATGTCAATTTCTCTTTCAGATTTTTGTGAATGGGCAGCTCTTTACTGGTTTTCAGCATAGGATTCCATTCCATAAGGTCAACACACTGAGTATTTCCGGAGGTCTGTCAATCTTCTGTGTGCGCATTAGTAGCTCGGAAATGGTGAGTTACCTACTTCTACTTTTCCACCAAAATTCTTGTCTTTCCAATGACAAGAAGTTCCTAATAATTATTCACGTCACTAATGAATCTAGCTTCTCCATTTTGATACCCATCATAGCAAAAATTAGTGAATGCTAGATACCTTCAGCAACACTTCTAGTGAATGTCATTTCCAATGAGCCCCATTTATTTGTTGCTAGTCACAGAGATGTTGACACTGTATGTTCTGTTTAAAAGAGTGGTTATCCTGCGCAGTTGTTAAATGTCGCCTGGCCAGAAGGGCCATTAGTTAGTTAATGCCACTTTAAACTTCTTATTCCTGGTAACCAGAGGCCAAAACTTGTTATATTTGACTGGTAGCTACCTTAAGCTAGACAAGGTTTGCAAAGAAATTAAAATTACTTTCACTCATATTTAAAGTCACAGGTGTCCAGTGTGTTAAAAACACTGAAATGATTCCTTAGAGGAAGTGAAATGCCTAGAATGATGATATTTTATAGGTTCATAGAATGAATCATCCTGGGATGAAGCTGATCCAAATTTGCAAGAAGAAATTATTTGAACTTGTATTCAAAGGGGTCAAATTTGTGAAAAGAATTAAATGTCCACCTTTGATTAAACAAAAGGCCCAGAATCCTGATAGTCTCTTGTAATGACGCCCTGAAAAGTTGGCAAAAAATTATCTGGACCCATATTCAAGGTATTTGAGGTCAATTTTCAAAACACCTAAGACTTCTTCTGATAAACCAAAAGGTCTGGAATCAAGATATTTATGAGTTCTTGTAATGCAACTCTACAAAGTTTGTATACAAGGTCACAGTGTCATGATATTTAGTTCGTACCTTTTGAAGGATGAAGAGAAACAAAGTTTGTAAAAAGAAATTTCTGTAAACTGTGATATTTTGCCCCCATTCAACTTTCACCCTTTTCATCAATTAACAGGCAGTGCAAATTTAATATCAAGGTGAAAATTTGTTATACTGATATAATACTTATATATAATATTCTGGGGTGAAAATTTCCAATTATTCTGTACGTTGACCCATATTCAAATCTTAAGGGGACAAATTTGTTAAAACACTTAAAATAATTTCTTCTTATTAGCCTAGAATAATGGTATGTTCATTAGAAGTTTCTGGCATGAAGAATGAAAACAAAATTGAATTGAATGTCATAGTAAATGCCACTACGATGTCGAGGGCAATACATGTCGACTATATCAATGTGTACTTTACTGGGTAGCATATTATTATATTAAAACATGGAATGAAAGGTGATGTAACAGGTAAGTAATGATAGTGACAATAAATGTAATACATGGTATATGTAACTATTCAGAAATTTGAAACCTTTTAAACTTAATTAATGTAGCATGTTTGATATAATGTTCAAAGGGAGAGATTTCAACAGCCCCTATCCAACCCCAAGGAGGGCTTAATGGTCTTGTGAGTCAGGGTTGATGACTATATGTATGGACACTAACAATAACAAGTCTCACTGTTTGATATGAATTCTTATCTACTACATCATTTGATTAATCAGAGTTTAATACATTGCTTTTCGTGTGTGGATTTTGCTGACCAGAACATCTTTTAATATTTTTATTTGCATGGCATGTCAGTTACAAATAGGTTTATAGTTCTATTGCTGTTAAATGTTTACAAGGGCTGACATGAATGACTCTGGTAGCTAAGGATGTTTTGTCCATCATTTACAATGTTGATCAGAATTTATCATGCTCTTTACTAAAATGTATGCTATTAAGCATTTAAATTATAAGTAATTTTCTCAGAAATTTTTTATTATCTGTACAACTTTATTTCCTTACCAAAGCTATATGAAAAATTAAGTTCTGTTTTTACTTGAGAAAGTTTCGTACTTGATAACATTTCTACATGTGTGTTTGCAGTTTTGTATATATCATTCTATAAGTAAAATAACTGCAATATCTTTCATGTATCATTAAACAGATTTTCTTTATAAGATGAAGTGTGTTGTAATAGCAAAATAGCCATCCGTTAAAGTTAAACGGATAAAAATCATAATTGCTTGATGTTCCGTAGAAAAAACAAATCTGAAGGGTCTGTCAGTATATCAAACACATCAAGTATAGTATATATCTGATTAAAGAATTCACTGATGCCTTGAACAAAGCGAAAACATCTAACTTTGCCATTTTTAAAATTAAATGTTTTTTTTTGATGATGCGAAATCTGCTGTGTTGTTGACTAATTGTAAACTTATGTATATTTTTTAGTTTTTATTTTTTTTCCAAAAAATTCCTTTTTATGTTAAATAATATGAAAAAGACAATTATAGCTCAATAAAGCTGTTTATATTACTTTTAACAGTTCATGGAAGTAAGATTTGTGTATTAACATTTAACACAAGATCAACAATAGTATATAATTTTCCTGTGACTATGTCATACCTTTTTTATCAGATGCTGTTTCAAAATATTAATTATGAATTTAATTATTGAAAATGAACCCCTTTGGATGGCTTTTCCCATCTTTATCTATTTTGACAAATGATTGATCTAGAGAAAATGTATACTGTGATCTAAACAATCGTAAAGGAAACTAAACAAAGGAAATATTAATGTTAGGCTGAATATTGATGGTAAAGCTGTCTCAGATAAATTTAAAGTTGCCAATATTTTTAACAATTGTTTCTGTAGTATTGGTGCAGAAATAGACAAAGACTTTGACAACAGTTTACTGACTGTTGAAACTTTCAATACTGAAAATTCATATGAAATACCATACATTACTCCTGAGTTTGTATCCAAGCAACTTGAGCACATGTCTGCTGCCAAAGCCACTGGAGTTGATGGTATATCTGTAAAGTTATTAAGTGTGCCGGTGATGCGATTGTACCACCATTAACATTTCTGTTCAATACATGTATTAGATGTGGTAAATTTCCTACCGAATGGAAGAGAGCAAAGGTCACTCCCATTTTTAAAGCAGGTGATCTTTATTGTGTAAATAACTACAAACCTCTATCTGTGTTATCTGGCCTTAGTCAAATATTAGAAAGGCACATTCATAATACTTTCTATGAATTTTTATCAAGTAATAACCTTATAAGTGATTTCGGTTTCCAACCTCACCACTCAACCGAAACGGCTCTATTGCATGTCTTAGACAAATGGTTTAAAAATATAGATCCAGGCTATCTCACTGGTGTTCTTGTTATCGATCTATGTAAGGCATTTGATACAGTGAATCACAGTGTACTTTTACACAAACTTAAGTCAGTTAGCCTTACACTTTTTTCAGTCATATGTATTTGACAGGTCTGAAGCTGTCAGCTATAAGGGTGTACTCTCTGAGTTCCAGCCAATTAATATTGGTGTTCCACAGGGCTCAATTCTTGGGCCTCTTTTCTTCATATTGTACATAAACGATTATCCAAAGTGTTTGAAAAACTCTTCTGTTACCGTGTACGCAGATGATACATCGCAATATATTAAAGTTAAAACAGTTGAGGTACTGGAGCAAAAAGTGTACGAAGACTTAGAATGTACATACAAATGGATGGAGAATAACATATTAAGTCTCAATCTCAACAAAACCGTTTGTATGTTGATTGGTTCTGTGCAAAAACTTGCAAAATGTAGAAATCTATGTTTGAACTTTAATGAGAAAGTCATTGAAACAGTTGATTGTACCAAACTTCTTGGTGTTTTGTTAGACAAAATACTGTCACGAAAAAAACATTTTGACAATGTTTGCAAAAAATTATCTAAAAAAGAAAAAGTTCTTAAAAGACTTTGACCATATATGTCAGACTGTGTTATTTTGAAAGTCGACCAGATTATTGTCTTTCCACATTTTATATATTGTTCAAGTGTTTGGTGTGTTCCCAGCAACAAAATGTTCATTGAAAAAATTCTTAATCTACATAAGAGAGCAGCCAGGATTTTACTCAACATCAAAGATATTTTAATTTCATCTAGTAATCTTTATAATGCATCGAAATGGATGGCTATTCCTGATTTTTACAATTTTAGGAAAGCTGACTTTAAACATTCTTAATGGACAAACACCATATACTTTAAATAGTATGTTTTCTTATGTCAGAGGTGTCTGCAGTAAATCTACCAGAGCAGCTACAAATGACAAACTCTATGTTCCTTTAGCCAAGACAAGTATTTTTAAGAGATCTTTTAGCTATAGTTGCTCTGTTTCATGGAACAGTCTAAGTGAAGATATCACAAGGACTTCCAGTGTTGATGTTTTTAAGAAGAAATACATTGAAATGTTTTACAACCAGTAGGCTATATGAAGAAATACCTGTTTGTCTGTGATACTTTTCATTGTATATACATTACATGTACATAGCTCTATGAATTGTTGACTTGTAACTTTTTATTGTCTTATTAAACTTTTACATACATATGTCGACACTCGACAGCACGGCCATATTGTTAACAAGATTTTATCTATATATGTCATCTTGTCTTAATTAAAGATGTGATTATTATTAAACAAAATGTTAATAAAAACTAGCTAGTCCTCCACTTATTGGTCACAGGTTTAAGGCCAATGTGGGACAGTCACCAGGTACTGGTCACAGGTTTAAGGCCAATGTGGGACAGTCACCAGGTACTGGCCACAGGTTTAAGGCCAATGTGGGACAGTCACCAGGTACTGGCCACAGGTTTAAGGCCAATGTGGGACAGTCACCAGGTACTGGTCACAGGTTTAAGGCCAATGTGGGACAGTCACCAGGTACTGGCCACAGGTTTAAGGCCAATGTGGGACAGTCACCAGGTACTGGTCACAGGTTTAAGGCCAATGTGGGACAGTCACCAGGTACTGGTCACAGGTTTAAGGCCAATGTGGGGTACAGTCACCAGGTACTGGTCACAGGTTTAAGGCCAATGTGGGACAGTCACCAGGTACTGGCCACAGGTTTAAGGCCAATGTGGGACAGTCACCAGGTACTGGCCATAGGTTTAAGGCCAATGTGGGACAGTCACCAGGTACTGGTCACAGGTTTAAGGCCAATGTGGGACAGTCACCAGGTACTGGTCACAGGTTTAAGGCCAATGTGGGACAGTCACCAGGTACTGGTCACAGGTTTAAGGCCAATGTGGGACAGTCACCAGGTACTGGCCACAGGTTTAAGGCCAATGTGGGACAGTCACCAGGTACTGGTCACAGGTTTAAGGCCAATGTGGGACAGTCACCAGGTACTGGCCATAGGTTTAAGGCCAATGTGGGACAGTCACCAGGTACTGGTCACAGGTTGCTGCTTTTCTCTATAATAATGATTGAATGTTGTGAAGTTTGTTATTAATTGTTATCAATTTATTTTGGTTTTAATGTGTTAAAGTTCCTAAATTTTACTTCTGTTTTCATGAAATTTATGTCTCGATCAGGACACCAAAGATTTATAATCTCAACCTTTCCCAACCCCTTTTCTGAAAACTCCTACCAGAAAAATTGCCACATTTTGAAGAACTGTCATCACTTAATTGTACATTCCTTAATCTTAAAAGGAAGAAAAATAGCATTGATATACCCGTAATTATGGTGCATCAAATTTGAATGTGTAGAATTTTAAACATTGAAATGAAGTTTATTGAAAGTCCCTTGAGCTCATACATTCAGCACCACTAATCAAATGAATCACTTTCATTTAGGACTATTTAGTGCTGTAGAATCATCCATCTTTTATGTGTGGTGATCTTGTGTGATTTGACACCATTTTTCCTGATTTTTGCTGTAGGAGACCAGGTCATCTCTTCATGAGTCATTTGTCTCTGTCTATCAGGTAATAATATTCTCCTCTCATAATACATCTACTACCATTTCATGTGACACTCTCCTGTTTTAATGTTGTTGTCCTGTACAAACTTTCACACAATAATTACATGACTGGTAATAAGTACACCCATATATCTATTGGTATTCTTGGAATTTACCAAAAAAATGAATGATTCATAGCCGTTTGTGAAAAACTCACCCCAGATGACTTGGAAATGGAAGTAAAGTAATGATTTAGCCCCTGGGCTTATTACAAATGAATAAATCACTGTAGACCAATACTAATTGGTGTTGAGAGGGACCACAGAATCTCACACATCTGTTACCAAGGGTGAAACAAAGTATAGCTGAATCGACAGTACATTGTTACCATCATGTTTACTTATTTTTTCTATGAAGTGTTGACTATTTCATCACTTTAATTTTAGTTAGTTGATTTCGTACCATCTTGTACGCTATGTATGTCAGTGGTAGTACGCTTCACACTGGTCATTTTTCTGATGAAGGTGACCGTGTAGTCATCAAAACGTCACCCTCAAATCTGCTACTGGTTGTGTTATAAGAACTTCTATTCTATTGACATTACATATAGGAACCTGAAGAAAATGTTCCAAAATATCAATTTGTTGATAATTCCAAACAGCTAAAGAAGTTGTTGGGCCTATTACCATGAAAAGAAATTTATTGATAACACAAGAAAAAAAAGTGACCTACTGGAAGCCATCTTGGATTTGGCAAGTAACGTTTGTTATAGCTATTTTTTGAAAAGAAATGCTTCATAAATCTTTCTAAAATTTCTTGTATAGATACCTCTTGGACCCTTATTGTGCCTGTTTGATTTTGGGACTCATCAGAAAAAATAAAATGGCCGACAGGCAGCTATCTTGGATTTCCCACAGTTAAGTTTGTTATCCCTGTTTCCTAAGAAGAACTGAATGGAACTCTCTCAAATTTCATATGTAGGTTTCCCTTTGTCCTTGGCTGTGCCCATTTGATTTTGGATATGATCAGAAAGACAAAATGGACTTCATGGGGCTATCTTGTATTTCACCAAGTGAAGTTTGTTATTGCTATTTCTTGAGAAGTACTCAATAGATCTTTCTCAGATTTCATATGTAGGTTTCTCTTTAACCCTAAATGTGCCCATCTGATTTTTGGACTGATCAGAAAAGCAAAATGACTGGCAGATGGGCATATTGAATTTTCACTTTGAAAAGTTTGTTATCATTATTTCTAGAGATGGGCAGCCATCTTGGATTTCCATAATTAAAGATTGTTATCCCTACACTGAATGGATCTCTCTCCAATTTTATACGTGTTTTATACTTCGCTCAGCTAGAGAGAACTTCTCTTAGCTTGATTGGTTGGGCATTAGACTAGTAAGCCAGAAGGTTCCAAGGTGCAATCCTAGTGGAGGCATGAAAATAAGATAATGATGTCTGTTACATTATAGCAAGATATATTTGCCAACAAGGCGACCAGCTCTAAGTCTCGGTGACAATTTTGGGCAAGCCACACAGGCTTTATGTGAGTAATTATTTTGAGCATGCAGGATATTTTTGGCAGGAACTTGCATGTGTTTCATGTGGTGTGCCTGCTAGGTGCATGGATGAGGCCCAAGAGGTTCCTTGTTGGCTCCAGACTACATATACAGGCACTATGGGTTACTGCAACATTCCTGCTTGGGAGTTGCCTGACAGCATATAAAGGTCTGTAATTACATTGTGTCAAGGTCCCCACCTTCCAGTCAATTTTCAACTAATCCTTATTCTAATAGAGCACTACACAAAGGGCCAAGGCAGCCTGTTAGGGTCTTTGGATGGCTAGCCACAACCTCCTTAACAGTCTAAGGAACCAGAAATGTCTGAGACAACTAAAGGAGACCCCTGATGGCACTATTTATATGTAGGTTGACAGTACCAACACCATTCCTAGCCAGCAAAATGCCCACTTCATGCCTGCTTCATGCCTGCTGCATGCCCACAGGATGCCAGCAAGATGCCCAAAACTGACACATGCTGGCATGACTTGGCCAAAGGTCTACTGCCAACCTACTTTCCTCAACTGAGTTAAGTGCTTGTGACTTGCAGTCACTACAGGCCTTCTCCCAGTGTTCTACTGATTGAATTCAATGGGCAAACTTCAACATCTTGCCCAGATTAGTTATACAAATGTACAATCTTCATATTTATTTACGATAGATTTGATGTATACTTTAGTGGATGATATATTTTAGAGGGAGAAATCTGATGACTGTTTTGTTCAAAATTAAAACAACATATAGACTATTGGAGAGTGGCTTTATAAAGTTTAAAATACAGGTTTTTTTTATTTTCAAAGCCATCTAGTTCTACACCTAGTTTCGGGACAGGAATAGGCTATCAAGCAGCTGGCTCATATGCCCCATCTTTCCAACCGATTATCAATCCGGTAAGTTAAACAGATGTGAACTCTCAGCTGAGACAAGGTATCTCAGTCATGGGATAGAATGTCTATTTATAGATTAGATGTGTGCTTACATAAGTCTTTGTCTTGTCATTTGATTATTACTTGCAAAGTTCAAAGCAACTTGAAAGAATTCTTTTAAACCATTTTTTCTCAAAAAATAAATATCAAATGCCATTCTTACAAATAAATTACCAATTACATTGGAAATAGACAGGCTCTATTGGTGCACATCTGTTATGGTAGTTCTTTTAAGTTTTTTGAGAGATTAATGTTTAATCATTGATGTGCTTTTTCCCATATGCATGTTGGAATTTATATGTACTATGAATGCTAACTAAAACCTTTTCAGTGTCAATATTTACCATTGTTAAGTATCAATTGGAGTCTATCAAAGAATGTCAGAGGTATCTTGCAATACATTTTTAAAGATAATTTCATAATAATGCTGATGATAAGAAGTTACATGTGGCATTCATAGATAGTATGAATGTGATCCAATTTGGTGGAGCTATTTGTCCTTTTGTACAAAGGTACACCTTGTCATTACGATATATATGAAAATTCTCAGGAATTGATTAAAACTAATTAAAAAATTTCCATAATAATGAAAGCTTGTATTAGAAAAGAATAATGAAGTGAGGATGATATTTTATTGAACGAGATGAGATAAACAATTTTTTACACTGACATCTGAAATGTTGTCTTTTTTTATAGCCAGTGCCTTTTCTGTCTGGGATCCCAGGTGGTGCTGTTCCAGGAAAGATGATCAATATCATGGGTAGTCTGGCCTCCATGCCATGCAGGTGAGTTTCTAAATCAATCCTAGAAAAATATCTCGGTATGAATAACACCTATATGTACATTCACTATAATCCTTCCGCAACAAAGGTCAAGGTTAAATGATTTATAAGATGAGGTCTTCTTTATACTGTTTCACTAATTCTTCAGTGTTTTAAGCCACCATGGTTGAGGTACAAGACTTTAGTTATTAGAATCTCTAAAAACATGAGTTTGATGTAGTGACATACACAAGGAAGTTTTCTTCAATAAACTAGCCATGTTGTTTCTTTGTGTGGAGATAGGATGGTTGTAGCTGAATAAATGAATAAAAACACTGTCATAATACCTACTTCCAAAACAAACCAATAGATCTTTTCCTTTCTCAATGATAAAAAACTATCTAAATAGATTGACAAGATTATTTCTATGTGACTGATTGCAGTAATGGGCCCAAAAGTAAGTTACTATATAATATGGCATCTTCTTTTTTTATTAGTTTTTAGGTCACCCTGAGACTTTCGGGTGACCTATTGCAATCCCCTTCTGTCCGGGTTCATACGTCATAAACTTTAAACATTTTCTTCTCTTTCTGGAAAGCTCCTAAACCGATTTCAATGAAATTTTACAAAAATCTTCCATGGCTAAATGGGCACCAGAATTGTAAATTATATGGTCCCCAACACCCAGGGGACTAAGGGACAGGGCCAAAAGTGGTCAAATTGATTGAAACTTCAAAAATCTTCTCAAATCCCAGGTATGATAGAATCAAGTACTCTTCAAGGACAGAAAGGCCTTCAGATGCTTTATCAAATTGTCAATTTCATGACCCCAGGGTCTCACATTTCCCCCTGGGAAGGGGTTAAATTGACTATAGTTTATATATCGAAATCACATTTTTGATCATTATTTGTTTATTTTTTATTGGAAATAGTTCAAACTGGCATCGGGTATTATCTTTTCTTTAACCAATGGACCAAATGTTTTAATATTTGGTTGGCATGTTCCTAGGATAAAGCCTGACAAAGTTTGTGAAAAGAAATGACCTGGACCTATATTCAAGGTCACATTGGTCAGTTTTGTTAAAACCTTTAAACGACTTCTTTTCATGAACTAAAAGGATAAGAGGCATGATATTTGTCTGGTATGTTTCAAGGATGAAGCCCGACATTGTTTGGAATAAGCAATAACTTTGACCTATGTTCATGGTCACAGGGGTCAATTTTTTAAAAATATCTAAACAACTTCTTATGAATTAAAAGGCCAAGAGGCATGATAGTTGATCGGTATATATATATACCAGGTGAGTGCTGCAGGCCCATTGTACCTCTTGTATTATAAGAATATATTTATTAAAAATACTGCTGACTAATCTCAGAAGCAACTTCAAACTCTACGTTTGTAGCTGATATTTAGCTCTCATCGACAAGTTAAGCTTCTCAAGGGCCATTTGAATCCAGTTATTACTAATGAGTCATTTCAGAGTGAAGGAACTTCTCAACAGTTTCTTTGTAGTCAAGTGTGACCTTGCATTACTAACCCAGGTAATCCACAAAGTTTTATTATTATTCTAGCCACTTCTGTATTTTCTTAGAATCTCACAGGAATAAAGTGACTACTGAATCTTATAGAGTCTAGATGTAGAATCTACCAATAGCTTTTCTTACGTCTTACATCTTAAAGAGTCAAGTTTTTTCTGTGTAGAGTTCAGAGGCAAGAAATGTTCTTGATTCAGTGTCAAATCAGCTACTTTCCTCTCTACTTTTCTGTTTTTCTAAAGAGCTTTACCGTTGTCTGGTTTTGTTTTGCTTATCCGTGAGTAGCCCAGGATTTGCCAAATGAATCATGTTGCTATTGTGATATAGTTTTTAGGCTGTTTTATACACAAAATAAACGACTGAACTGTTGATGGGTTTTGTATAAATCCTATGTGTAGTAATAATGTCATATTTACTGATGATTATTGACAACAAATCAACTGTGTTAAAAAAAGATACCTTCAGAAGAAAATTTCAAAAAGAAAATTCTTTAAAAACTACACCCAATAATCTATTGCATCATTATTTCTGTGAAAATTGCATTTTTTATCTTTTAAACTTTTCCTAAAAATTTGACCAATTATTTTTTGAATGTTTGTTCTTGATAACTCTTTATGAAATAAGCATACTGCTCAAAGGCTTATTTTGTTTCACTTTATAAATAGGTCACATGTGGAACATTTTAGGAACAAAAAGGCAATTGTAAAAAAAAAAAAAACATAAGAAATATCAACATTTCAACATTTTTATTAAAATGCAAGTTAGGTGGAAACAAACACAAAAGAAAGATTTGCAAAGATGTTCAGGAAGAGTAAGTGTCTTCTCTTCATAGTCAACACTTGCCATATAGATATGGTCAATCCAAGTAGGTAGTGTCACTTTGTAAATTGAAAACATGCAATTTTTTTGTTAAAATCTTACTTTACAGGTTCCATGTGAATCTCCAGGAGGGAACTCAGGACAGCTGTGATGTTGCCTTCCATATGGATGTGAGATTCCGCTTCGGAAGTGATGGGAATATCATAGTGCGAAACCACATGTCCCGCGGCACCTGGGGCATGGAAGAGAGAACTATTCCATTCTTTCCCTTCAGCATTGGGGCTTCATTTGATATGATCATACTGGTAGAAACAACATGTTTCAAGGTATGTTTTAGCAAATTAAAACAAAGCCTACCAGACAATATTGATAAAAATGTTTCAGTGAAATTAAATAAATGGTTGGACAAAATTTTTTTTGCTTTTTTAAATAATGGCTGTTTTACTGTTTTGTATAGAGCTTTTATCAAGATTTCCTGAATGCTGAGCAAGGTTAAATTTTACTACAAATTAATTATATAATTGAGAAATACATGTATAATTTTCCCATGTTATGGTTGTACATGTCTTGTTATTGTTTACTCTGGCAGAAAACAAATTATTCCTGTCAAAATTAGAAAACATAATTCTTAAATTTTACAATAGAAACAATAAATAACTTGTGATAACAGTTCAGGAATGTAAAAACTTTGCTCTAGTTTTCTCTACCAGCAAGAAAAAAATATGCTTTGCCATTTAGACACATCAATTGTACATAATGCTTTGCTACTAAGCAGGTCTCTTGTTGAAAAAGTGTGATGGTGGTGGGGAGAGTTGGACATATGCAGTTCTCTTGTTGAAAAACAAAATGTGATGGTGGTGGGGAGAGTTGGACGTATGCAGTTCTCTTGTTGAAAGAATAACAAAATATTGAATTTGGTGGTGATGCAGAGTGTTGAGTTTATGCAGTTGTCTGTTTAGAAAATGAAAGTTTAGAGGAAGGGATTGAAATTTGCTGCGAGTAAATTCTGTACTCCGAAATATATCACTAGTAGTTTTAATTGATCAGACTTGTAATTTTTCTATTGTATTATTACAGGTTGCCATCAACAACAAGCACTTTTTGGAGTTCAAACATCGTCTACACCCTCCTACTCGCTACAGCACACTCAAGATTGGTGGTGATGTCAGATTGTCTCAGATAAGGTTCCAATGAGGACAGGAGTATAATCAGTGCATCATCTCCTCATCAGATGCAACAGTTTACTTTATCAATTTTCATTATGCAGTGTTTATTTTAACATCAGATTTACAAATAGTTTTAACTCTGATATCTGCTACTTTTATCGCATACCTAGATCTTAGTCATGCTCATATGTATAATTAAAGCATTTGATTTTAAAATTTCATATGTTACAGGTGAACGTTTCATATAAAAAAATCTTTGTATCAAAGTCTTGAGGAACATAAAAGTAACCTTTACATGGTGTGGAGAAAACACTTGTGGTATCTATGTAGTGTGTATTGAACTTTATGATGGGTCTGAACTTCATGTACCAATAAGTACACATGAATTAAAAGTGAAGTAATTTTTTTGTAATTTCTTCGATGGTTTAGGGCTAGACATTTCTTGTAGTAGGAAGTAAATAAGGCCTAATTCCTTTGAACACCTGTAGTCTGGTATGTTCTTTGTTACGACGGAAATCAAAATTGACATAAATATGTTTTACTTATTAATTTTCTTGATATATATTTACATTATAGCCAGTACATGGTGACGTGCTATTTACTATATATATATATATATTAGAGAAGAAATTCGCATACTGTAGCATTTCAAAGTCATATCTAGTAGTAATTAGCATTATACAAGTCAGTGTTACTGAAGAGTTTCAATCAAACAGCATAATTTTCAGTACAGTAGTTAACTATATTTATTTCTTACTGAAGTGCAGCTGTCAATTTTGCAATGATTTTTTTTTTTTTTCTTTTTTCTTTGACTGAAGGCCAGAATTTCAGATTGGTTTAATAAATTATGATTGTGACAGCAATTTCAAATACATATTCCAAAAATTACTCACACATTTGACTTAGATAAAAAAAGAGGCAGTAGTATGATGTTCATATGACTATTAATGTTTACTTTTTACATGTTTTAGAACCAAAATCTCAATGATAGTAATCAAAAGCAAAGAATATGTTGTATGACATATGATTGGGACCAAATTTATTGTATTGATGTATAATTGTCAGATTAATTCATGATTTGTTTGGATTTTTATCTTGACTTTTAGACATTTTTCCTTTGCTATGAACTGGTACTGTACCCATGCTTGAAATATGTCTTGATTGCTTTAACTAGTCTATTGTCAGAAGTTCAGGGGCCTGTAAGGTTGTGCCATATTATTCTAATCTTGCCACTGTCTGAAGGACATTAGTTTCACTATTATCAATTGTGCCATAATCTTAATGTTTCTGTATCATATATGGATTGTGCTTGGAATTTGAGGAACCAGACTTTTTAGACGCCCTTTGTATGACGGGACGTATTATGCTATGGCGTTGTCTGTCCGTCCGTCCGTACATTGTAAACTTTCCTAGTCTGGGCCATAACTATGTGAGTCCTTGGTCTATACAGAGTGTCACATATAAAAATTGCCTGCCTTGCATGCATAGTATCTGAGTTATTCCCCCTTAGTTGATTTTTCGTAAACTTCCCTTGTTAGTGTATAGTGTATGTAAATCATAAGTTTAAATACTATATTAGTAAATGGTGGTATGACATGGCTAAAACTTCCCCAAAGGATATTCAGATTATTCCAAGACAACTTAGTTATACAGTCAAATACTGCTTCTCCATCAAAGACTGGCGACGGGTGTATATCGTGCCTCAATTAGGCCCTTGTTATTGACTGTAGCAGGCAAAGAATGCTGGAGTGGTTGGGTTCATTTTTGCCTTTATTTACTAATCAGGCATTGCTTTTACTTTGTATATTTGTCTCATATTGTTTTTCCTAATGCACTTAAAGGAATAGGATCTTCATCGTCTTAGAGCAAAAGATAGTGTCAAGTAATGCTGTTTACTCTCTCAACTAGTTGTAAATCTTGCTGTAGAAGTCGGTATCGAAGGAGGCTAGGGGTTTTTTTTTTGCCTTTTTTTCTACGCTAAAGCTCCATTATGATAGCAGGAAGTACTGAAGAAGCCAATGGATTAAGATTCTAGTTTATTTTCTGTTTTAATTTCCAATTACGGATGTCACTTTGTGTTAACACAGCTACAAGATAGGTGTTCAGAATTGAATATTGTGTCTGTATTGTATACTGTATATCTGATCTCATTAAAAGTGAAAACCAAATATTCATTGATAGAATCCTGATATGTAGCAAAATACCTATTTCCCATTTGTAGAGTTTTTATTCTGTTTTGTACTGTAGTACATTTTAAGTGGTGGTTGGGCTTAATTGAACCAGATATTCCATAGCTAACATGGATTTTTTGGTTTCCTTAATTGAAAAATTATGCTTATGTAAGATATATGTTTGAGTTTTTTCTCATAGAAATTTGAGTTTGGGATTTCTGTTCAATTATTAGACTTTAAGTCTTTATTTTGCATTGATAGAAACTTGAAAAGTCAAAAGAGAGTTGAGGTCACTCAAAAAGCATTTAACCGCCCCCACCCCCCACCCCGCCATGCTTATATGCTATGTTAAGTATTTGTTGACTTTTTTGTTACTAATTCTTGTGTTGTAATGATCACCTTGGAAGTTGTATTTGTTTATTTACTAATTTTATGTAAACTAAAACTTATTAATCAGTTATTTTTGATGTTGCTGTTTATTTTAATAATGTTAATTAGGTTAATCCTTTAATCACATATTACATGTACCAGCATTTAACAGCTTTGAAATAGCCAAACTGCATTGAAGCCATATAGATGAAAAGTGATTGAGTCAAGCCTACCAAGAGCTTAAAGTAAAAAGAGTCTTGTATACTATATACATATATATTTGTATATAGACGGATGGTGTTGAGAAGATGGATGGACTCTGTAGACATGTGGTTTTGGACAGGTTCCTCAATCAACAAGTAGCCTCAAATGACAAGTGGTTTATATAAACAGGTAGCTTTGATAGAAAATTGACTTTTTATAATTTGTCATAATTCACAAGTGGCCTTAAAAAATGACCTAATAGTGACCTTAATCAACAAGTGACGTATAGCAACCTTAACACACAATTTACTTTGTACTGACCTGAATACATGATTGACCTTATACTGACCTAAATACACAGTTGACCCTACAGTGACTTTGATAAACAAGTAACCAGGCCAGTGACCTTAAGAATCATTTGGTCTTTATGTATTGAATAGAAACATTTTCTTGTGATGCAAGTTGTCAATTTTTATATGACTTCTTTTTTGAAACCATTCCAAGCTGAGAGCAAACAACAGTAGCAGACCATGTATTATGTCTCAAAGTTGGACATACACATCATAGTGAGATTGTTTATTGTACATGTATATTGTCTGTGTTACACCGAATATTCAGTCTGTAAAACAGCAATCTTATTTTCATTTTTTGTTTCCCATATATTCTAAAATGGCAATAAAACTGAGAAAAATGGTATCAGTTTGATATTTTGAGTATTTAATACTGTAGTACACCTAAAGTCATTGGTTTACAGAGGTAATATTGGTGTAACATTAAAGTCAATTAATTTTTTTTTATAATTAAATAAATGTTTGATTTACTGCATTGAGTTTTAGTTCTAATTATCATTTACTATAATGACTATCATATTAATTGTCTGCAATTATTATTGTACTATACCATTATATTTGTTACTTTAATTGATTTAAATAATTTCTAATGATGCTCCAAAAAACCACCAACAGGAAGAGTGATCAACATCAGTTGGAAAACCTTGTTTTGCAACTGTTGTAAAATAAAAAAAAAGTTTGTTTAGTCTACAATGTCTGATATGAAATAAATAAAACTTCCACAGCATTATTCACACACGGTTACTATGAAAGCAGCTCATACGAAACATGATCCCATGGTTACCAAAGCGCCCACCATTGTTTGAACTTCCTTTGTTCTTTAAAAGTGGGATCTTTTTTTAAATGCAAGTGTGGGATGCCCCTCCCACATTCCTCACATTCCAGTGCACAAATAAGGTGAGAAGCACTCCGCCAGGGTTTTCTCCTTGGATATCCTAGGGATTCTACTGTAGGTATTCTTTTGTTCCTTATGTAGTTATTGTTAAGCCTGTTTGATAAAGATTTAATGGAGTAGCTACTGGGATGTGGAATTTGAGCCTAAATGTATGCACAGCAGTCCTCGCTGTTGACTCTTTGCTGTCCAGAACATGTAATCTATTTCATATGAATGTGTATCCTTGCGTCATTGCTAGCTTTTTTATTTGTGTGTGTTCTATATTGTGTTAATACAGATCATCACTTTTAAGACTGTATCTGAAATTGAAATCAAATGACTTGAATTGTTTTTCATGAGAAACTAAATCGTCCATCGTATATACCCACCAGAATTGGAAATCAAGAACACGACAGATTCTACTACATCAGCCGCTTATCTCGATCTTTTCCCGAAGATGAAACCAATTATGACAGAATTCTAACAAGCTGTACGATAATAGTGATAATGTTGGGTTCTTTATTGTGAGTTTTACGTCTCTGGATTTCAATATCTCAGCGTCCCCAAGGTGTTTGCATGTTCATTCTAAATTCAAGGGCCTGTTCCCATTATCGCGATTTTCGTGCAGGATTTCGATAGCTGACGGACAAACTCACAACACATATGGAGGTTGATTTAAATTATAGGGAAGGTTTGCAGTCGTCATAGTGATTGAAACATTTCATTGCTTTGTACGATATGAAACTGGACTTTTTGATGCTCGTTGGTTTAACTGTTGGTTCCGTTGTTGTATATTCATTTGGGAAAGTGACCTTACCTGCTTAGATTTACCACAGTTTATTTACATGGTGGGTGTCTTTGATGAAGCAGCGGATGCTTACTTTTCCGGAACACCTGGTTTTATTCTCCATGTACATTTTACAGGAGTCGCCGAGCAAATCCTTCTTTTGTTTCATATTTTACAAGTTTTATGGAATTCGAATTTGGACTAACATTCTGTCCACATGTTGGCATTCTCATGCTATTTTTATATTAGAGTATTTTATCTAAAATATTAAATCGAGTGTCTGGATTAGGCTTGCAGCGTCCTAGGCATAAGCCTGAGTTTTATATGCATATAGGTATTCGCTTTCGCCAGGGCACACTGTTGTCAAGTGATCACTTTTTTTAACCCAGATATACTCCAATCGATATTTTTAATCTGTATACTTGATATTTGACTAGACAATTACATTCTGTATATTGGTTTTGATGTGTTCAATCTCGGGCATAAAGGGACCAGTTGTAGTTTAAAACCTTCTCTTTGTAAATGATGATACATCTTGTTACAAAGACGCAAATATTTGAACAAACAACATCCACCCGTATTAGATAACTGTATTTTTTCTAATTGGCTGCAAATCTTTTGAAATACAATCTCACGTAAATGAGGGGCGTGCCTGTTTTTTAGTATGGTTATAGGTATGTGTATTATAACGATACATTTCTTTTTAGGCCTACGTTTTTTTACCTTGTAAAACCGATCTATTTGTTGTTTTTGTATAAAAATGCAAACACACAAGCGGTTTGCCGGTTAACTGGGCCGTTTTCGGTATATAACAGACATGATCAGGTGCGCGATACACTCTGTGACATTTTATCGCAATCAAACCCTATAGGCATGTCATGCTAATCAGTGTGAAGTCGAATGTTGATATACACTTACTTGTGATTTTAAAAAAGTGGGACGAGTACCAGGTCAATAAGTGGGTCTTTGTAGTGTCAAGATATAGGACGAAGTTTTCTGCACCTGGAATATAAAGCATAGCCTTTACTGAGGTAGTTGTGTATTGTCATCCTTACGTAACGTTAACAGGTAGGAATTTTTCACATAAAAGACTGTCAATAGTTTTTTGTCGCTCTATACAAAGTTATGTAATATAATTCCTAATACTGGATGTTACCCAAGGAGTGGACCTTTGGCATTTTATCAATATATAATCAAAGTACTGTGAGATTCTGAGGTCTCTAACGTTAAAGAATTTAATGGTAATTGGCGTGAATGCTGGACAGAAACACCAGTATATAAAAGTCATTTCATTTTATGATGCAACTGTTTCAAATAAAACGATACCAAATGAAAATTCAACCATTTTTTTTTTCAAAAATGTTTGCGGTATTGATTGCATTGAGTCCATGATGAAGGACACCTAAAGGGTTTCCGATGAAATGGAAAATTGATGAATTGGTTGGTTAATCATTTCAGCTGAATATTTGGAATATTTGCATAGATTATTAAATATGTTGAGTTTTTGTCACATTCTTTTGTTGTGATGATGATGATGATGATGGAGATCAACGATAAAGGGCCTATTGTTCTGATCCTAGTTAACAGTATATTTTTTACAACTTACATGACTGTCGAAAGGCGCAAAATTGAATCATATGGAGAATATGTTGCTGTATAACTTGCCCAGATAACATGAGGATAGTGTAATGGGTCTATTTCCGATAGGTATGTTTAGTTGATAGGTATGTTATCGTGTTCATTTCATGCTGTAAATGAGTAATACCATTTAACTGTTAATATCCAAGACAGCCGAGGCTTTTCTATCCAACTTCCTATCCATTTGCCCAGTCTATAATCACTGTTAAGTATCAATAGGACATAAACTGCAAGAAAATAAGGGGGGGGGGTTGAAACAAGAGGCCCAGGGGGCCTGTATCGCTCACCTGGATCATTATGACCAACATTACTATATATGTGCATATGTTCCACATTTAACACATTTGACCCCTGTGACCTTGACTATGGGTCAAGGTCATTTCTTTTACTTTCTTGGACTTCATAAAAGGAACGTACTGGCCAAATATAATGATTCTAGGCTTTTCGATATTTCAGAAGAAATTGTTTAAACGTTTTAACACATTTGACTCATGTGACCTTGATGATTGGTCAAGGTCATTTCTTTTAGCAAATTTTGTAGGACACCATAAGAGTAACATAGTAGCCTAATATAATGATTCTAGGCCTTCCGGTATTTTGAAAGAAGTCGCTTAAAGTTTTTAACACATTTGACCTCTGTGACCTTCAATATGGGTCAAGATTATTTCTTTTACTTTCTTGGACTTCATAAAAGGAACTATCCAGCCAAATATAATGATTCTAGGCATTCCAGTATTTTGGAAGAAGTCGTTAAAAGATTTTAACACATTTGACCTCAGTGACTTTGAATATGGGTCAAGGTCATTTCCTTTTTTTTACAAACTTTGTTGGGCTTCATCAAAGGAAGCTTCCAACCAAATATAATGATTCTAGGCCTTCTGGTATTTTGGCAGAAGTCGTTTAAAGGTTTTAACACATTTGACCTTTATTACCTTGAATATGGGTCAAGGTCATATCTTTTTGCAAACTTTGTTGGGCTTTATCAAAGGAACCTTACAGCCAAATATAATTATTATAGGCCTTCCGGTATTTTGGAAGAAGTCGTTTAAAGGTTTTAAAACATTTGACATCTGTAACGTTGAATATGGATCAAGGTCATATCTTTTTGCAAACTTTGTTGGGCTTCATCAAAGGAACCTTCTAGCCAAATATGATAACTCTACGCCTTTCGGTATTTCAGAAGAAGTTGTTTAAATGAAAAGTTGACGGACGACGGACGGACGAACGCCACGCTATGGCATAAGCTAACTTGTCCCTTTGGGTCAGGTGAGCTAAAAAGGAAAATTTACACCGACTTTTATGAAAAGTACCAGGATAATAAGACCAGGTGTTCCGGATGAGTTGCGTTTTGACTTCATCGACAACACTCGCAATGTGAATGTCATGATGGCCGTTAAAACTCACCGGGATTTTCGTCAACCACCATCTCTCGAAACTCTATTTTGTAAGTTTGTCTCTCAGTTGTTGACATCTTGCACGAAAATCGGGATAATGGGAACAAGCCCTTGAATATCAAATCAACTGCGACATGGACACACCATAGGTTGAGGATGCTGTAGTGAGAAATGAAAATTCCACAATAGAGAAATTGAAATTATCACGCTTATGATACAGTTTGGCGGAAAAATGTCCATGTAACATTCATTGTAGCTAAAGACATAGTATGTATTTTCTGGACATCAGTTATGTATGTACATCTAGGAGTCATGCCAATTTTAACATACATGTGATATCTGAAGCTAATAGGTTTATTGCTATTTTTTTTTTTTAAATGGCTTCATGATGTCGAATGTTGCTCTGGAGGATAAATCCACTCCTTATATAAAACCTAGTCTAATTTATGACCATACCTACACGTATTCGAACTAAACAAAAAACGAATAATATTTTATGTAAATTTAGAATTCCTTATTTAAAACATTCTATAGAAACATGAAGATCGAATAACGTCCCTGGCGAGGAAAGGTTATGACTTCTGTGTATAAACTATATTTACGATGAATTTCACTATTCATATGACTATAATAACTGATCTGTCTTGCAACAAATGTACACACAAAGTTACTTAAGCGGGTTAGTGTCAATATTCGAATTATGCTTATTCTAACTATGCCAAATGAAAAGAATGTTCACGATATTTGTAATATCATTTATAAAAGTGAGTCGATTCAAAGATTCATTAAGCTGCTCAATATATAAACATTTAGTGATTTTTATCAGAACTATGAAAATGATCTATGTATGTATTTTGTATGTTTATTCTGTCCATCCAAACTTTCTTTTTTTACCTCTGTTACTCTTAAATGTATGGTGTGATGGATATGAGTGTTGATAAACATGTAGATCTGGTCAAAAAATGGGACGACTATCTGGTCAAGAAGTGGAACATTGAAGTGTCAAGATCCAGGCCGAAATTAGTTTCCTACTAATACAACGTACTACTGTGTCGTCTGCAGTTTGTAGTGTATCTGGGACAGCGAGTATCGGTAAGAGGTAGGAGGTTTTTCATTGACACCGGCTTCTGCTTTATATCGACTTGGCCGCCAGTTTAGGTAAGACAACTCGACAGCTATATAATCTGGAAACGAATATAGTTTAATGAGGCATTGCATATACTCTGCCTGATTTTTATCTGCCAATATACACCGGTTTACTAGTATAGCACATTGATATACATAAGGCCTGTGTTGCTTAAATAGTCCCATCCCGCTTAGGTGTACAGTGTGTGACTAGTCAAATAATGCCCCCCAGCATTTATATGTAAAATGGCTCAATGGGCGACGTACTCAAAACCAACGGTAAAGAGCTTGATCCGATTTAAAAACAAAATAATATAACGTTGTTATAATTTCAAAGTTTTAAAGTTTCAAATTCATGTACTAGAACCATTACTTAAATTTTTTTTAACCGGGTAATGATGAAGTATGAGAGGATGTTGATGCTGCACTAAAAATAACAGCGAGAAGAAATACGTCCCGTGTAAGTACAACGAGACTTATTAGTTTTGCTTACATCATGGTGAACTGATCAGCACTCGTGAATCATGTACTCATGATATGCAGTGTGTATTTACAGGACACAAGAAACGATATCAACTATTTCATGTCTGTAAATGTAAGTCACAAGACCATAACCATCCGTCTCCGCGCTCAGTTGACTGATGTAAATGGCAGATAAAGACCAAGTGCTACAGGGCCTTTGGAGATCCCCTCTCTAAGGGACCACTAATACAACTTTTAATTGTTACTATCTCTATATTTTCTAGCAGTGGTGTTCTCTAATATGGCTGTGACAGTTTGATATATATATATACTAATTCTTTAGTTTTATTCCCTAGCTTTCCCCCTTGGCTATCATAATTCAATTTACCCTTATTTAAACTTAAACGATGGAAATCATGATATTAGAAACAAGACCTTGAATATCGAATTAATTGCAACATATAAACATCAAAGGCTGTGAACGCAGAGATGGTTACTACCTAGAAATGGAAAGTTCACAATAAAGAAATCAAATCGTATTGCACAGCTTGGTGGAAAACTTCCCTAAAGGTTCCGTTGTAGGAAAGAGTCAGCCACGTCGTTGATTCTCAAATCTTCACACTGCCTCACATTGTGACTTCCAGCTGAATTGATTTTTTTCTATAATGAGATCTTCCATTTTACATCATCTGACAGAGTTCAAAAGTTTGAGCAAATAAAAAATAGATATAATACAAAGGACATATTTGTGTTGGAGACGGAAAACACTGACTACCGCAACCCAGCACGTTTACACATTGATGATGGCACCCCCGAGAAGAAATGCAATTCCGTCTGGATTCTTTCAATAGTTCTCCAATCATCCTTTAAGTTTTGAGAAATTTTTTTTTAAAAACTCTTAATTTCTTCTCATTCTCCGCTAATGATAAATTTTGGGCGTCAAACCATACATGGCACTATAACACACCCAGTTATAACTAAAACAGCGTTTTATCTTCATTCTTTCACGCCAGAGAGTGATAACAGTTTAAATTGTTAATAATTTTTAGTTTTACTTCGGTTTCTATTTCGAAAATGCAACATAGCTTGGTGTCTTCTATAAAACAAACAACGCTTACATTTTCGAAACACTCGATCGTACTCACCTTATATCATACCATTTGTTCACAATTCGGCCTACCTTTTATCAATTTTGTGTGAGGATGAGGGTTTTTCTTATCTTCCTTTCCTTTTTGGGTATTTTTTATAATTTGGAAATGACATGTATTATGAACGAAGGCGATATTCCCAATGACAAACACTAGATATTTTCCCTGGAGTCTTAGCGGATTAAAAATTCTCGAAAAATCGGAATGTTGCCTTTTCACGTATATGAATACTCGATGACAGTCAGTCCTTGAATGAAATGACTGTGTATTTACTTCATGAAATCATGAACTACGTTGGATAAATAATGCCTTAAATTATGATTGAATTTAATTATTTTTGTGTTGTATTATTTTTCACAATTTGGAGTACTTTGCCCCGCCCCTCCCATATACAAAGCTACTGGCCCATTCCCAAACTAGTAGAAACAACCATGTTCTAACAATAATTGGTAAGTTGGATGTGTCTTCTATTAAGGTTAGTTCATAAATCTCCGAAATCATACAAAATTGTAAAGTTTTCTTCCATATTGAATATGTTTCCGTTTTGATTATAGGACAGTCACTATGGGACCTGTAACACTACGCCATGTCGTTCTTCTGGTTGGTTTAGTCGCAATTCACGTGTTTCCTGCTCGAGCCGCCGACAAGCCACCGAACATCATCATCATGCTAGCAGATGACCTTGGTTACGGAGATCTGAGTGGTTTTGGTAACACCACTCTTCCAACCCCCCACATCGATCAGCTGATGAAGGAGGGGGTAAAGTTGACGCACCATCTAGCGGCAGCTAGTGTCTGTACACCAAGCAGAGCTGCTTTGTTGACAGGTCGATACCCGGTCCGTTTTGGTAAGTTATTCAAAATTAGAACTCTTACATTACCGATTTTTTTCAAACGTTAACATGAGGTATCATTCTCAATTCTTGTTTCATGACAGCTTTCATACTAGATGATTCAATTGAAACAAACTTCAATGAAAGCCTGTAGAAAGGACACATTAAAACTATTTTTGTGGTCTTGTCAAGATTTCGATCATGCAAGGCTCCAGATAAAGTACAGGGAAACTGGAATTACGATAAAAAGACTCGCACTGATATTCAATCAAGGTTTGTAAAACCATCGTACCTTAAAATCAACAATGAAAATTCCAGCTCAAATTGCTTGAAACTTAGAAAAAAAAAGATATAATTTCGCGGAGATTTCTGAAAATTTAACAGGAGAATAAAAGCATGTGATTTGGATAGCTGTACAGTAGTTTAATGCGTTCGACTATTTATTGTATCTGTTTTTGATTTTGAATATCAACAGGCTATTTTCTTTTGTGTGTCTTTTGTACAATCTTATTAAAATTACGACAAATAGTTGAACACTGAAGGTTGTATTCTTTTAACAACAGGATAATTTACCTACATCAACAGTTATATTTCAAATTTACTCCTATACGAAAGAGTTAGCTCCCTTCGCATACCCATGGTCGCACGACTTACCTATTTTTGCAATCGCTACAAGAGTTGTCGTTCCTTGCTCTATCAGTACATTGAAGATATAATTAATCGGGTGTCAGTTGTAGACCTAGTAACCTTATGCTTATCTTATATTGATATTCCTGATTGTTTGTTTTTCATAATACAACATTGTGTTCATGTGAATCCATTGATTAATCAGGGTTTTACAGGATCAAATAGACCTACTGTCTACACATATGCTATAAAAGATATTTTGCTTTATTATCATGTGGTATGCTATGATATTTATGTAACATGTAGGATGCATAATTTAGCACATATATGGTTATACAAAATGCTTGTGCTGCTATGTCTTTCCATGCAGGAGATTATTTTCAATACTTCAGACCACTGGGACCGTAATTCCCAATCCACGGATCATGCATATGTATTATATGGCGACAAGGATTGTAACCTTCGAATTTCAATATCTCAACAAAACCAAATCTTACACTTTGAATGTATATCAGATACGTATATTAAACGTCCCTGTTTATATCGGCGATTAACATTTTTGACGAGGTGAAAATTTGAACGTAGCACTCAAACATGAAATTGTAATGAACTTATTCAAAGCACTGTAGTTTAAATACATTTAAATATATTTTTAAAGAAAGTTTGAAATTTATTTGATATTTCATTCTTTAGATATAAAATATTTATTATAATCATGGACTGGTGTTTAAGGTCCTGGCCGAGACTGGTATGGCTTGCACCAGTGGTAGTGACGTTAAAGCAAAAATGGCGGGTGTTGTAGAAGAAATTGCACGCCTTGGTGTTATTTTGGAATTTCTTCGACGTACTAGACATGACACCATTAAAGTGACATTATGTGTGGACTCGGTCATGGGTAGTGCATACCGCCACAAGCGCAGATTTTATGATTTAGGTACCCATTAGAGACGAGAGCGTGTTTCAACAGGACCGGGAAATGTCTACCTGGCCATTTCTATACATATTTCCGAATTCGTCAAATTTTAACTCGGTCAATACAACATTTCTCTTAAAGATAATATACATGTTTGCGGCCCCTAGAATATCAACCAACATAACTGATATATATATATATATATGTTCAGTTTTCCCTTGTAATTGATATACATATATGGTTCGTGGGCCTGGAATTCGTGCCAAGTCCCTGTGCTTCGGACCAATTAACGTACATGCCGTCTGTTAATCATGACTCTAGTGGCTTATTTTGCATGTCTCATCAACTCCACAAGTCACTCACCTATAGAAACACGTCTCACGACGGTATGGATAAATATCTACTGAAGTATTGACTTCACGTCTAAGTAATGGGTCCGTAATTGTTTTCAGCTGACAGGTAACGGGCTACCCATGTTCACTAGTAACATCAATTTAGACTTGATGTATAATAGACCAAATCAATAAGCGCCGTAGAACCTTCAATGTCGTAAAAGTGAGACCGCACATTTCTGTTTTACTTGAGTTTTTTTCGTTTATGCGCTTGTCAACTTTTAGAATGTAATATTTCACGCATAAGTGGGGACGGACGGGTACCAGTTTGTATGAATACAGGTTTCGAAAGATCAGTAGGTCTGTCTTTATTTCATGGGCGATCAAATGTTGTCCAACACTTCAAACATCTTAATTAGGTCGGGACAATGTCGACATGATCATTCTTAAGAAGAAATGTGACCAGACTGGACTAAATCTAAATATACAGACGGTCAGAGCGACCATGCCAAAGTTCAGATAGAGCATACTATAGGTCAGAGAGACCTTGCCAAAGGTCAGATAGAGCGCACTAAAGGTAAGAGAGACCTTGCCAAAGGTCAGAGAGAGCACACTATAGGTCAGAGAGACCTTACCACAGGTAAGAGAGAGCACACTATAGGTCAGAGAGACCTTACCACAGGTAAGATAGAACATACTATAGGTCAGAGAGACCTTGCCAAATGCCATAAAGGCCATACCAAATAAAACTCCGGAAGACCAAACCAAAGGTCAAAATGACCTTACTAAATGCCATATTGACTATACCAAAGAACAGACAGAACATATCAAAAGTTAGACACAAACAAGTGTCAGCCATAAACCAAAAGTCAGATTGACCTGCCGAAATTTTATTTAAACTATATTTAAGGTCAGACATACCATGTAAAAGGTCGTATAGACCATACGAAAACTCGGACCATACGTAGGTTCAGACAACCTTACCAGTTTCATAAAGACCAAACCCAATGTCAGACACAGATCATAGGAACGGTCTGACAGGCTTTTAATGAATCTCATGTAAACCGTATATTGTAGGTTGAAGCCACATAATGAGTTGGACTTTATCATACATCTTCTTAGTCCTTCAGGCTAGGACTCGGAAATGATGCTCAGTTCCTTAATTCTGAAATGTATGGAGGTGACCGGGGGAAATTTTAATTGATCGAAAGAAACTCCGAAATATTGACGGATTCACCCTGTAATCAATAAATTCCGCTATCTTCTTTAACAGGTTTCTCGTAATTTCAAAGGAACGTCAACATTTCTATCAATTAAAACTTGGCATGCAGAGAACGGCACCACCTGCAATCTCAAGAACGTACAATAGACACCCATGCAATACAAATTTAAAATTAGATACTGTGCCGCCTAATGATGAATTAGATTCCATCATACACTGACATACCGTTATTACCTAAGGTCACAAATAGCCTGGTAACTAATGGTATCTAGACTTAACAAAGCCGGACTAAAATGGAACTAGTGTAGGTAAACCTGACTTACACTAGACCAGATCCAAACAAAAACACCAACATGTCAACATAATCTTAATTTAAACTGAAAATAGATAAAAACAAGAACAAAATATGATAAAAATACGGATGTTTTTAGATGATTTATATATTATCAAATTTGTTTGCGGAATATGCTAATATTTTTACTTCATATTTTTCAATACAAAATATTATGTTACATACTTAAGATTATGGACAGATATACAAAATGTCGGTTCCAAGAAATAAGCTATTTTACACAATCGATTCCATTTTTGTAAACTCTCATTAAGTTCTTAATGATATATCTAGTAATATCAATTATCTATATCATAAGCAGCAGTTTTCCTTAGTATTGCTGCGAAACGTATGAAACGTAAGTGTTATATCTTAATATTTACAGGTATGGTGCCATCTGGTGCGATCAGGGTGAACATATTTGTTGCCAATAGGGCAGGAATGTTGCCAAATGAGACGACAATAGCTGAACAGGCGAAATCCGTGGGTTACAAAACTGCTCTTGTAGGTAAGGGCGATAAAAATATCAACTGAATCCCAGATGCTTCTCGAAATTCCAATTGGCATGTCAGCCTCGTGGATGGCATCATTATGTTTTAACAGATCGTTGTTGTTTTCCGTCAATGTTCTAGATTCAATTACTGCCTTTCATTTCAATAGTGTCACCTCAATACAGAACATGATGATATGGTATATATATTGTACATTTGGTATTGGCTCCCTTCAAGGCAATTAGGAGTTGGGTATTGCCGAGCGACTAAGATGGTTGACCGTCTGTGTCATTATCTTTCTCCATGGATTGCGGGGGAGGGGTCGAGGCCTTCGTCGGGAAGTCGCCAGGTACTGGCCACAGGTCGGTGGATTTTAAGTCCACTATGATGATGGTGGTCTATTCAAATCGCTCTGCGTCCGTGGTCCGTCTGTCCGTCCGTAAACAAATTTTGTTATCGCTATTTCTTTAAAAGTACTAGATGGATAATTCTCAAATGGCATATGTAGATTCCCCTTGGTCCGTAGATGTGCCCATGTTTTGGGACTGATCAGAAAAAAACAAAATGCTCAGCAAGCGACCATCTTGGATGTTTACTTTGAAAGTTTGTTATTACTTTTTCTTGAGAACTATTCTATAGATATTTCTCGAATTTCCTGTATAGGTTCCTTTAGGTCCCTACTTGTTCCTGTTTGAGTTTGGGACTGAGCAGAAAAAAAGAAAATGGCCTAAGGTAGCCAGCTTTCAAATTTTACACGTATGTTCCCTTTGGTCTCTCCTTATGCTCGTTCGATTTTTGGACTGATCAGAAGAAACAAAATGGCTTCCAGGTGGTCAGTTTGGATTTGGCAGGTAAAGATTATCATCGCTATTTCTGCAAAGAAATGTTCGAATATCTTAAGATTAAGAGCAAAAACAGAGAAGAGAAAAGAAGTGAAATTATCCAACATTCAAAACGTATATAAAGATCAGACAATGGTGGGCGCCAAGATCCCACTGGGGTATCTTCTTTAGTTTACTCTTGGTTTCCTGTACCACCCAAACCTGACACTGGTTGTTAAAAGAACGCAAAATAACAGTAAACTAGTAAATCATCAACATGATAACACATTTATGAATACAAACCAACTAATACATATTTTTTTCACTGATATATTTCCAGGTAAATGGCACTTGGGACTCAGCAAAGACACCTATGGCGATCACCTGTTGCATCCAATGAATCAAGGATTCGACCAGTACTATGGACATATACTTACCAACATGAAAGATTTCAGTGGGGATGGAGAGAGAGTTCTCACGTCACAGAGACCGAACATCTACTATGCTATGGTTTCTCTCGTCATTCTCGGAATTTCTCTTTTCGTATGGCTTTACAAACAACGTTACATCAGTAAATTATTCCTGGTGATTGGAATACTTCTTGTGCTTTCTCCTGCCATTTATTTTGTCTTTGTCTTTAATACACTGAGACTTTTGAATGGAATTGTAATGAGAAATCATGAAGTGGTAGAACAGCCAATCAAATTGGAAAGTTTGATGAAAAGATACGTTCAGGAGGGAACCGATTTCTTGGAGGCTCGTGAAAGGGATAAAGAACCATTTTTGTTAATACTTTCCTGGGATCATGTTCATACGGCAATGCGCACAAGTAAAGAGTTCCAAGGTCGTTCAAAACACGGACGTTACGGGGATTCTATATTAGAACTGGATTGGGGTACTGGTGAAATCATGTCTAGAATAAAAAATATGGACATCGGTAAGAACACTCTAGTTTATTTCACATCAGATAATGGCGCGCATTTGGAAGAGTCTGACATCCATGGCAACAGTGACGGTGGATCAAATGGTATCCTTAGAGGTAACTGATAAATATCATTGAAATCAAGATAAATTTGTGCTGCATTTCAAAGCCTCTTGTCTGCTGAATTTTGTTGTAGAATAGATTATGAATTCATTGAAAAATATGTGTGCAAAGAATAGATTTATTTCTTTAAAAAAGTTAACATTTTTTGTAGGTGGTAAGGCGCATGGTGCTGTTGATGGGGGGATAAGGGTACCCTCTTCAGTCTGGTATCCTGGAAAACTACCTAGTAACGTGGTGATCGACGAACCCACCATGCAGATGGACATGTTCACAACCATAACGAATCTTATTGGTGCGGATTTGCCAACGGATCGGCCAATAGATGGGCGAGATATGTATTCACTCCTGACAGGAAAGGAACATATCAGTCCACAGGAGTTTTTCTTCCACTATTGTGGCGATACTGTCCAGGCTGTTCGATACAGGCCACGCACAGGTAAGATGACTGTTCCCAAGAAACTATTCATTGATTAAATATATGTCATAAAAGGCAAATACAAAAAAATAAAAAAAACTTGGATGTGAGATATCTCACTGTATTGTGTGGAAATTTTACCCATTTCTATCGTGTAGGATTGTTGATCATGTTTCGCAATAGCGCTTACGAAAATTAATAGGGCATATTTTAATTTACATATCAAATGTTTTTCCTCCAAAGTCAAACATTGGAATTCAATACTAGAGAGGATCAAAGTCTCTCGTTATTATTGTCGCTTATATCATTTACTCAGAATTAAGGTTTTAAATTTAGGGAACTTCAGTGCGAATGGGATCCATAACGTCTTATTACAAAGTCATAAAAATAACACCATCTGGTTAGTTAGTTAGTTAGTTAGTTAGTTAGTTAGTTAGTTGGTTGGTTGGTTGGTTGGTTGGTTGGTTGGTTGGTTGGTTGGTTGGTTGGTTGGTTAGTTAGTTAGTTAGTTTGTTTGTTTGTTTGTTTGTTTGTTTGTTTGTTTGTTAGTAAGTTACAGATTTTCCGTTTCTATTACTATTTCTTGTACTAGTCATTGTCTCGCCGACAGAAGTCAATGTCAAGGCGATGCACAGGAATAACAAAATAAGATTGCATTTATTTTTGCTCTGCAACTGAATGCAACATCATGCATAGAATGTATCATTTTTGTTTTATTCAGAATTGGATTATAATTTTCTAAGATATTTTGATTGCATGAAGGTATCAGATCCTTATAATCTTTATAGTATTCGAATTACGCGGGTTATTAAAGGTAAAAGTATGCAATCAAATATACTTGGTCATTGTAAATAATACACTTGTCGCATCCATAATTGCAACCTTTTAACTGCAGAATTTTCATATAAACGGACTGATCAAGGTCGGTCCCTCATTGCCTTTGCAGTTTCTGTAAATTAACAAAATTCGCCCATTGACAAGGGAATTTTCAGGGCTTGTTTTGGGACTTAGGAAAAGGGTCACAGGAACTATTTTCCAAGTCACTACAAACAGAATCAGAACCTGAAGGGGAACATTGTATGGACAAGCGTAAATGTTGACATACATGTATATGAAAGTAGAAATTAATACATGATATATTGACTGGCCAACATGACTTGCGAGACATTGCTTCTAATTTGCTTTGTAGGACCATCGATATGGAAACTTGTCTATGAAGTACCAGACTATTTGCCAGGCCAACAGAGATGTCTGTTCGTCTGTAACTGCTGGGATGCAATTAAACTCGAACGGCCGTATCTTTATGATATTACGTCAGATCCTGGAGAAAACAGGCCAATCGACATCAGCAGTGACAAGAAGTACAAAGAAATAGCCGAACTCATGATCAAAGCAACAGAGGATCACAAAAATTCAATTGCACCTGTTGACTGTAGACTTTCCTTCTTTAAGTTGCTTTGGCGGCCCTATATGCAACCCTGTTGTAATTTTCCGTACTGTAGCTGTGTTGACATTAAGTATAAGGATATTGAATAAACGAAGCTATTTATTTTTTTAAGCTCACGAACATCTTATTGCAGACTTTCAGATCGCCCGTGGTAAACATTATTTTTATTGTTGTTTCTTGCGAAACACTAGAGGGATATTTCTTATACATGTATGTAGTCATTAATAAAACAAAATGAACGATAGGTGTCCATATTTGATTTTGACAGTTGAAGATTGTAATCACTATTTCTTGAGATGTGTTTGTGTGATATTGCTCAAACTTAATGTTTATATATTCTTATGATTTCTAGTCGTACCCATTTGATTTTGAAACTGATTAGTAAAACGGAATGGCCGAAAGGTGGGTCATCTTGGAGATTGACAGCTTAAGGTTATTATCGCTATTTCTGATGAAGCGCTTGGAGGATACTTTATAATTTGTATATGTACAATGTTCCCCATAGTCCGTAGTTGTTCCTTTTTGATTTGGGACTGAACATCGAAATGAATTAGCGCACATGCGGCCATCATGGATTTTGACAGTGGAAGGTTGCTATCGCTGTCTTTTATAAAGAAGTACTGTAAGGAAATTTCCCAAACGTCATATGTCTGTTCTCCTCTGTCTATACTTGTACCCATTGAATTTTGAGGGTGATTAGTGAAATAATTTTTTACTGTTTAGACTTGTTATTGCTTGTTATTTTTCCCGTTAGCTTTCCCGTTTGACCTTACGTGTGCATTTTCCATTTTGGAACAGATCAAGAAAACAAAATGACTGACAGATGGCCATCTTAGATTTTACAATGGAAGTCTGTTTTCGCTATTTCGGTGGTTCCCTTTAGTCCCTAGCTGAATCCTTATCACACACGGACTAGATAGATCTTTCCTAAATTTCATATGTAAGTTCCCCTTGATCCCTTGGTGTTTATTTTTTGGACTGATTATAAAAAAAAGAATGCCGATTGGCGGCCGTTGGGGATTTTCACAATGAACGTTTGTTATTGCTACGTCTTGAAAAAAACTAGGATATATAATTCATACATAGGTTATCTTATCCTTACAAAAAAAACAAACCAAAACAAAAAACAAAAAACGACAGGCGCCCGCCTTGAATTTTACATTTTAAGATTATAATCGCATTTTCTTAAGAGGTATTTTCAAATGCCAAATAACTAAAGGCAAAAACAGGAGAAATAAGAGAGATGAAAGAAAATGGGAATGATCTAACATTTAAAGAACAGAAAAAGATGAAGCAATGGCGGCGCCAGGATCCCTCTTGTAGCTTGTAGTTTATCGTTTAATATGTTATCATATCTTCTATGTTTTTACATTTTGATTCCCGTAGAATCATTCGAAACACTTGTGTGTTGTATTTGACATTTAAGTTTACTGTTAAGCAAACATTCTCGTTGTAAATGAAATAATACTTCATTGAGTTTTTTTCATTCGTGTGTGTGTTTTGCCACTTTTCACTACATATTTATGAATTGTGTTATTAAATTTGTTGAGATTTATACGGTAATGAAAGAATATAAATCACAAGCAAAACTTAAAACTTTTATAAAACAGGCAGTAAAACGTCATATCAAACATTTAAGATGTATCATAAAGTTTTCATACTATTTGACATTTTTTTATTAAAAAACAGACACACTTAATGTATCAAAAGAGTTGGTGGTTTTTAACAAACACTTTGTAAATATAATCAAATTACAATTGTTTGAGCAAAGGAACAAAAACGTGGTAGATTTCCACAATTTTAACATGGAGGTTATAGTTTAATGTTTTTATAAATACTCATAACTATTTCATTTATGCGTCGCAAGGATACGTTTAAGTAAATGTCCTCAAATTCTTTAAACACTTGTTGAATTTTATTTGAACTGTTTGATTTTATGTAATTAGTGTCGCTGCATGTACAAATGGAGAAACAATTTCCAAGAACGTCCTATGTTAGGTTGCGACCTATTAATTATTGGTCATTTTACGGCATGTCAAGCCTTCATTATTGTTACAGATACTAATAATAAAACATATGGCCTCTCATGCAGGAAGGACAAAAAATGTTGTATATGACTGTTACACTTCATATCAAATAACGCAATTTTTCCTTGTCACATTTTCACTTCCCCTATATTACTAAAAGAAACAAAAGAGCAGTGTTCACGTTGAATAGCAGGTCTATTTACCTATATACCCCTGTCTGAAATATTAGAGTTGGGGACCAGGGACGAAAAAAAAAACACCATTTAAAGGAGTCCGACGTATTTTATTGGGAAAAATGTTGGTTCCTGTGTCAATCATTGATAAAATAATATAATATTTTCATATTTATTTATCAAATGAAAGTATTACTTTCACATATTTCGACAGTAAGGTGTTTCAGTTTTAATTTTTTGTGAGACAATCTTGGAAATTTTGGGACTTCGATCAGATTTCGCTGGTGACAGAAACAAAGGTCAAAAGCCTGAAAGTTGGGCCTTGTAACATGTATATAATTAATATCCACAGCGCATGCGTAGAAAGGGGAAATCCCGTATAACAGTGAATGCTGTTTTAAGTAGTAAATTTGACAACTTTTGAAGTTTCCGAATGAGAACAAGGTATACAACAACGGAACCAACATGCAAAATAACGAGCATCAAAAACGTTCAGCTTCTTATCGCACGAAAAACTAGAATATTTCTCAATAAGATCAGTATGATGACAGTAAACCTGCATCACTCGAAATCCAGAAATTACACGAACATCGTGATTTCGGGTACAGGCCAATGGTTATCGAATGATATATCGAGACGCTGTGATATTGGTTTCGAGAAATGGAAAATGTACAATAGAAAAGCTGTGCATGTTGGTTTCGTTGTTGTAAAACATCGGGATAAGCAGCTCATATCGAAGAGTCTGTCGTGTCCTCGATTTCCAACCAAATCTGGTGGGTGCGTAATATGGACGTAGTCAATAAATTACTTGTTATTGAAAGACAAGACGTCCTCAATGTATCTGAAATTGAACTTACAGGACTTCGCAAAGTCTTTGTGTTTTGAAAAGCTCTTCGACAGATTCAGCATCGTATGTAAACAAAAACAGGTAAGTCAACAGAAGGGCACAGTTAGTTCCTATAGGTATGCCAATAATCTATTGGGAGATCTTGCCACCAAACTCGACGGAGATATTGTCCTCGTTTAACCACGTTCTTGAAGTGCCCAGGTCCATAATTTCCATATCACTAATGACCTACCTATCGGAGAAGACTTCTTTTTTGTTTTCATATGAAGCTGAATTTATCAAGGAGATCAACAATACAGGTCCCGGCGACCAAGTCCTTCAATTTCACTTTTAGACGTATTGATGAAACGATGATGTAATATGACACTAAAATTCGATATATAATGAAATTGATGACGTAATAAAAATGGTTACAGGATCTTGATAAAACGTGATCAACATAGTTCACTAGTAGGATCTGTTTAACATTTTAATATATATGCAAACACGTATAATCAAAGTTTTTGAGGCATGTAAGGGAAAGGATGGAACAGATGTGATATATATATATAATATTTACACCTATATATACTTATCCATTGTACATGGGCTCAGTAAATAGCCCTTTTCCTTACATATCGCATACATTATTCTCCTTTTACCTTTTCAGGAGTCTCCGTGTAATTTTTTCTGTTGTTCATATTTTGCCGAAGTTTTAGGGAATTAGAGTTTGGATTAAGATTGTTTTGATATGTCAGAATTTCCTTGTTGTTACTTTATCCGTAGTGTATTATGTAATTCTATGACGTTTCAAATTGATATTGTTCATTGAAATATTTATTTTCAATTTTTTATTATTAATGATGCATTCAATGATTCCATTTAGAAAAAAATGTATTGCAATATTTGCGGCAGTTGTATGTAAATGAATTTTCTTTACCGCGAATGCGGATCTTACATTGTTATACGAACGTTTTTTGTTGACGCTCCGTCGACTACTACAAACATTTTAATGGATACCGATCATGTTGAAGTGGTAAAGCCTTTGTACGCGAAGTGACAGTATTGATGTCAAATTTATGTCACAAAAAACATCACGTGCTATTAGTGGAGTATCCTTGTACACATTTTCCCCCCTGACAGTTTTATAGCTATTTATAATAAATGACTCCATACACAGTCGTTGTTACTGCCTTTTGAAAGTCTGAATATCCTTTTTGTTCGGTTGATTTTTTAACTGGTCACGTGATTTCGATGAAAGGATATAGTTTCAACCACAAAAACTACTGTGGTAAATACAGAAAAAAACTACGCCGTTTTATTATAAAATGGCCTATTCACACCAGATTAATGATCCTTGTCACCTTTCCCTAATATAACTTTATTCTTTTGACGGCCCCAACAGCGAGTTCCTGGGTTGTTAATGTGATGTCGATCACGCGTACAACCTTCGCAATCGATAAAAGACCGCGTCAGAACGATTATTTTGTGTTGTGGAAACCATGTTTATTTACTTGTCACGTCTATACTACGAAAGTACCTCGCCATGTTATCGCTTATTTTAAAACACTCTTACTATTATTAATAATTGATTACTGTCGTATTGGTAAACGTCTCATCGGCTACGGTCCGATTGACTGGGTTCAACTTCAAATACAACCTTGTCATTTTTACCTTGAAAAACACGGCACAACAGACAGTACATTGGGTGATCGGCAAATCAATTATTGACGTAAACCAGACTATATCAGGTATACTATCGACCAGGTGAAGATGAGTGTACACTACAATGGTACGTAAGATCATGGCGGAACAAAAATACCATCATCAGCATCATCATCATCGTCGTCGTCGTCATCATTATCATCGTCGTCGTCGTCGAGTAAATAAATTAAACTTTATATATTGGAACTTTGTTATTACTGATCTTACCAAAAAAAGAATGTTTTGTTTATATTTTGTAAATGGTAGTTAAAATACAGTAGAATCCTTTATAGTGATATATAACGGCGGGGCTTAAGTGTTTAAGCAGTCATCGTCATTAGATTCAGGACGTTGCTCCTTTTCTTTGTCCTTAGCTATGTCCACTGGCACTAGCAGAACAGACTGTGTAA